GAAAAGAACGAGTTTTTCAATAAACGCTAAATATTAAAGTTTAGGCGCTTTGTTGTTGATTAAACAATAACAAATCAGGTTACAAATTTACATTAGTGTATTTTAATTTTATTTTTATGGTAAAAGAGCATCATTTCAAATTTTTGAATGAGTAATTAATTTTAACTTCATATACCACTTAATAGGTGGACTAGCCTCAGTAAATTTTTTTTTTGGAGAAACGGGAACACCTAAGGTCTCAAACCTCTTTAATCTTCATACCATGTCAGTGAATGATGCTTCTACGCAGTAAAACAAAAATATCATTTTTCTAATTTATCTTGAAATATGTGGGCTAACCCCTACAAAAATATTGAGTTTTTCGATAAAGGCTATAAATTGAAATTTCAGGTCTTAATTGTTGATTAAAAATATCAAATCAGATTATATCTTTAATTTAATGTATTTTAAATTTCTTTTCATGGTCCAAGAGCATCATTCAAAATTTTGAACGAGTAATTAACTTTAACTTCATATACAACTTAATAAATGGACTAACCCGATTAAAATTATTTTTTTTGGAGAAACGGGAACACCTAAGGTCTCAAACCTCTTTAATCTTCATAATATGTCAGTGCATGATGATTATATGCAGTAAAACAAAAATATCATTTTTTCTAATTTATCTTGAAATATGTTAGCTAACCCCTACGAAAAGATCGAGTTTTTCGATAAAGGCTAAAAATTAAAGTTTATGCTCTTTTTTGTTGATTAAAAAATACCAAATCAGGTTATGAATTTAAATTAATGTATTTTAAATTTATTTTCATGGTACAAGATCATCATTTCAAACTTTTGAATGAGTAATTAATTTTAACTTCATATACTACTTAATAGGTGGACTAACCCTGATAAAAAACTATTTTATGGAGAAAGGGGAACACCTAAGGTCTCAAACATCTTTAATATTCAAATTATGTCAATGCATGATGCTTCTATGCAGTAAAACAATAATATCATTTTTTCTAATTTATCTTGAAATATGTGGGCTAACCCCTACGAAAAGATTGAGTTTTTCGATAAAGGCTAAAAATTAAAGTTTAGGCTCTTTTTTTATTAAAAAATACCAAATCAGGTTATAAATATAAATTAATGTATTTTAAATTTATTTTTATGGTACAAGAGCATCGTTTCAAACTTTTGAACGAGTAATTAATTTTAACTTCATATACCACTTAATAGGTGGACTAGCCCCGATAAAAGTTTGTTTTTAGAGAAATGGGAACACCTAAGGTCTCAAACCTCTTTAATCTTCATACCATGTCAGTGCATGATGCTTCTATGCATTAAAACAAAAATATCATTTTTTCTAATTTATTTTGAAATATGTGGGCTAACCCCTACGAAAAGATCGGGTTTATGATAAAGGCTAAAAATTAAGGTTTAGGCTCTTTGTTGTTGATTAAAAAATACCAAATCAGGTTATAAATATAAATTAATGTATTTTAAATTTAATTTTATGGTACAAGAGCTTCGTTTCAAACTTTTGAACGAGTAATTAGTTTTAACTTCATATACAACTTAATAGGTGGACTAGCCCCGATAATAGTTTCTTTTTTGGAGAAACGGGAAAACCTAAGGTCTCAAACCTCTTTAATCTTCATACTATATCAGTGCATGATGCTTCTATGCAGTAAAACAAAAATATCATTTTTTTCTAATTTATCTTGAAATATGTGGGCTAACCCCTACGAAAAAGATCGAGTTTTCGATAAAGGCTAAAAATTAAAGTTTAGGCTCTTTGTTGTTGATTAAAAAATACCAAATCAGGTTATAAATATAAATTAATGTATTTTAAATTTATTTTCATGGTAAAAGATCATCGTTTCAAACTTTTGAACGAGTAATTAATTTTAACTTCATATACCACCTAATAAGTTGACTAACCCTTATAAAAACTCAATTTTCTAAAGAACCTAACACACCTAAGGTTCCAAACCTCTTTAATATTCATAAAATTTCACTGCATGATGCAGCTATGCATTAAAACAAAAAAATACCATATTTTCTCTCTTTTTTCTTGAAATGTGTGGGTTAACCTCTACGAAAAAATCGTGTTTCCGATAAATGCCATATTCTGTAGTTTAGGCTATTTATTGTCGATTAAAAAATACATAATCACATTCTAAATTTATATTGATGTATATTACATTATTTTCATGGTTTATGCGCATCATTTCCAAAAATTTAGTGAAATGTTTTATAATACTTCATATTTCACTGAATTAACCCTTCTAAAATCTTTTTTGTGTGTGGAGAAACGGGGACTACAAAGGTCCCTGACATCTTTAATCTTAATTATATGTAAGGTAATGATGAAGTTATGCATTAAAAATACTATATTTTCAAATTTGACTTACAAAAAAATCATTTTTTTCAATAAATGATATATATATATATATATTAGAGTTTAGCCTCATTAGTATTGTTTTAAAAATACTTAACCACATTCTAAATTTTTATTAATGTTTATTAAACATATTTTCATGGTATATGAGCATTATTTTTAATTTCAATGATTAATTTATTTATACTTCATATACCACTTAATCCGTGGACTAACCCTTATGAAATCTCTATTTTCTGCAGAACACCTAAGATCCCAAACCTCTTTTATTTTCATACTAAGTCAATACATGATCCATGTATGCTTTGAAACAAAAATATTATATTTTTATTTATCTTGGAATATGAGGGTTAACCACTACGAAGATATGAAGTATTCCGATAAATGCAATTTATATTATAGTTTAGCCTCTTCGGTGTTGTTTAAAAATACCTTACCACACTTTATATTTATATTAACATATGATAAACTTATTTTTATGGTACATGGGCTTCATTTCTAATTTTCCAACTAGTAATTTATTTAAATTTCATATATCACCTAATAAGTTGACTAAACCCCTATAAAACTCTATTTTATAGAGAAACGAGAACACCTAAGGTCTCAATCTTCTTTAATCTTCATACTATGTCACTGCATAATGCCTCTATGCATTAAAAAAATCATATTTTCTCTTTTTTTCTTGAAATGCCTACGAAAAAATTATGTTTTTTGATAAATGCCATATTCTGTAGTTTAGGCTAATTATTATTGGTCAAAAATACATAATCACATTCTAAATTTACATTGATGTATATTAAATTATTTTCATGGTATATGGACATCATTTCTAGTATTTTAGTGCGTAATTTAATAAAATTTCATATTTAACCTAATTCAGTGAATTAACCCCTATAAAATTTGTTCATTTTTTTGAAGAAATGGAGACTACAAAGGTCCCAGACCTCTTTAATCTTCATTATATGTCAGTGCATGATGAAATTTTGCATTAAAAATACCATATTTTCAAATTTAACTTACAAAAATTACATAGTTGTTCATGACCCTAACTTCAGTTTACCACCCAACGTTCAGTGGCTTAGTGCAAAACCCACAAAACAGTACGTTGACAAATGTTTTTCCTTGTATAGATCCTCTTCATTCTGATAAAACCCTAATGGAAGTCAGCTTAATGATCCGTAACTTCATCACCGAGGTAAATACTCCCTCCGTTTTATATTGAGTGTCGTTATAGAGAATTTTTTGCGTTACAAAATAAGTGTCGTTTTCGGTTTTCAATGAAAAGTTTATTAATTTTATAATGTAATTTGTTTTTCTATTGGTTAAAATATGGTTAGGTGTATGTGTAACTGTGTTTTTATATAGGAAATATGTAAAATTAATTGTTTTCTTAATCCGTGTGCACAGCTGTAGAGTGACATTTATAATGAAACAGAGGGAGTATTATATAAATCAATCAAGAATGGTAAAACATAAATGTGATTGGTAATGGCTGTAGGTGCTCTCCAGAGCACTATGTATTTCTAAAGCACCAAATTCAGAGCAATCAAGCTTTAATGATTTTGTAAAAACCACAGCTCCTGAAATAATCTACAGCTGTACAAGTGTTTTCTAGAACCAGATATTTAAAGCAATTTTTTTGAGCTTTCTATATAATCTACAACAATAAAATCTAAAGTTACAGCAAAAAAAAAAACTACAGCAATTTTTTTACAGCTAAAATTTTAAAGCTACAGCCATAACCAATCGTCCCCAAAATCTACAATACTCTATATCTTGGCATTTATGTTTTTCTCTGTTCTTTCAGTTAAACTCAAAAGTAGCAAGTTCAATGCAGTCTTATGCCTTGGCAAATAAATGTAGGTCAACTCCGGTTTGGTTAGGTTTGTGTGATCTAAATTCAATATAGGTGAGCTAAATATCTTCTTTTGTATTTTTAGTTTCTTTCAAGATTCACATGCCACGACAAAGATCCACCAGAAACCTGCAGAATCACCAGGGAAATTCATTCCGGAAGCAGCTTACCTAAAGGTCTATGCTTACAGCAACGCAGCTCAAGGGATGCTCGACATACTGCTTTCTCTTCAAAACCTAATGCAATGCATTGACGTGAAAGACACGTTATCAAACATCGTCTCTAACGTGAAAGACACGTTATCAAACATACTGCCTTCTCTCTCTTAGAGATTTTGTTTTCTTATTTACATTTTTTTCTGGAAGAAACATACAATATTTTAAAGAAATGTAAATATGACACGGTATCAAACATTTGTAATAAGTTTGTCTACACATTCAGCCAAAGGTTCAATGTTGTGTCTAACAATGCATTTTCGATTTGAGCCCTACCAAAGGCTAACTAGCATTTTAATTTTAACAAAATTGGTAGGGAATGCACGAATATTAATTGAGAAAATGTCAATAAACAACTATTTATTCCAAAAAAAAAAAGGAAGACACAAACTCTAGGGTTTGGAGAGACTCATGCGAGTATCTTGGCACAATAAATGAATATCGAATGTGTGTATATATAGATAGAGAGTATCACGAGAGGAAACCTAATCCGTTATATATTAAAAGTAGCCGCCGCGTGCTTCCGTCGATCAAAGTAAAAAATATGGGAGATCCCACGGAGAAAATGCTTGAGGGGTACAAGAGGGAGGATGAGTTTATGGAGAAAGTGAGCCAATGTGGTGTAAGTCTTTCATCAATTCTTTGGTTTTGTAATGAATCGATATCGACAGAACATATAATTACCCTAATCTTCTTGTGTTCTCGCTATTGTGTGTGTGTGTGTGGTTAGGGGTTCGATATCGAGCATTTGAGGGGAAGACCAGCATGTTTCTGGGCTGCGGAGATCGCAGAAGATGAAACCGCCCCCAAGGACATCGTCCTATATGCTAGGTTTGGGATCCATAAGTACAATATGATAGAGGTTACAAAATTTTAAACTCCCTTGTACTGTTTGTTGATCTTGCAGTGTAATAATAAAATACTATTCACCTTTGATTTCTTCTCAGGGGACTAACTTGCAGCTGCATGGCATAGAGAAATACAATGTGTACCGTAAAGTACCTTATTCCATTCACCATGTAACCGCAGTTGCAAAGGATCCATCTGCCGGCGGTTCCCTTGTAACTTTTCAGACCAGTTTTTATGAAGAAGGCTTTGGCGTCAAGAGGTTGTCTTGTTTTATTGCTAGACCTAAACTTGGACCACATGGTAACAGTGTTGTTTTTGCTGCATTATATTTTTCCACAAAACTGTTTTAATTAGAATAAAAACTAATTCCACTAATAAATAAATAAATATATCTCAGTTACCCTCGATGAAGATGATAGTCCACTCACTGAATCCGAACCTACAGACAAAAGTAGTTTGCCTGAGTGGCCGGGAGAGAATGCTTTCGAGGATAAAAAGCATTATTACGTGGTAAACTAATTAAGCACTTTATTATCCTTAATTATTTTTTGTTCCAGTAGTCCATTGTTGTAATTGTAAGTGTGATGATGTGTTTTCTTTGATTTGGCAGGTGAAGAAATCAGAGGTTCGAAAAAATGATTGGATTCGTTTATACTTGGAGCTTGCATTCTACACTGCAAATTTGGCCCTTCCAAATGTAGTAACCTCTTTTTTTTTTCTTTTTTTTTTCCCTTTTTTCTCGGGTCTCTATTGTTAACAATCTCGTTCGTTTTTTTTTGTTTTTTCTTTGCAGCTTGATCTGTCGAAGTTGGTCATTACTAAAGTAGCCGTGTATAGTAGCGACGAGAGCATCGTTGTGCCAAACGAGAGACTCACTGCCAGAAATGCAATCTTCTACATCAAGTACAAGTACTGCCCACATAAAAGTAAGGCTCGTGGTTGCAAGAGAATACGTGATCGCATAGCTATAATAAGAAGAAAACTTGACAAGTTCTCTGGTGATATCACTCTCACGTTCGAGGGTACTTGCGAATGGAGGCGCACTTTTCTGTAGAGCAGAGGATGGCCAATCAATCCTATGGCCCGACTCGTTGCTCTTATTGTTAAACTTCTAATTAAGTAATTATAAGACCAGATCCATCTTAAAATGTGAACATAGTTGACATTTTAAAACTTGACAAGTTCTTTGTCTTTAAAATTAAGCTTATCTTTATAATTGTAAGGTCCAGTTGATGATATCGGCTAACCTAGTTGTTATAGAACATATAGTTTTCACATAGAATTTTACTTCAATCTTGTATACATTTAAAATTATGAAAATTTTAAAATTGCTTTAATATTTTAGAACAACATAATAAAATGATACTTGGAAGGTGATAATTTATTAATTTAATAAAATTGTGGTTAAGTTTTAATTTTGCTTACTATGCCCAATTTGTTTTACAGATTGTATTGTGTATTTAATTTATATAATACATATTTTGTTAAGTTATAGTAATGCTCCAAATTTGTTTCTAAATATGTACCATTAAAATCAAAAAACATATGACTGTACAATATGTTATGGTGTTTTCTAAATTTTATTAGACACGTTAGAAATTTAATCTCTTTTAGTTACAAAGTTAATATACACTCGGGCGTTACTTCACATACTATAATTTGATTACTATTGTTACATATTATAATTTGATTTTTCATGTGTTTCTTAAAAGTATATCAGACTGTTTGTGCAATTTCCATTTTTTTTAATAAATGTAAAATTTATTCAATCAAAACATATTTATATCAAGTGCTACTGTTTTTGACAATTAGAAAACAAATTCTATAAGTCAAGAAAGCTTCTCTAATGAATCAAACTCTTGTCTCAAACCATTTGCATTTGCATAATTCTTCCTCAAGGTATTTCTTCCCCTTCCTTTCCATTTTTTCTAATGACTATCGTAGTAACTTTGGAAAACAAAACAGTTTTATTTTTATATTGTAAATGTTAGAATTCATACCAATTTTCAGAGTTTTATAAATGTTGTGTAGCACAACGTATTGCATTGAAAAGATAAAATTAGATAAAAAGAGAAGATTATATATATAAGGAAACACAGTAAGAAAATACAACTTGATTCCTTGAAGTGTAAACACCTATGGCTTCTTCAGTATCATCATTGAATGGACGTATAGTATTATCTTTAGCAGAGTACTTGACTTGCATGATCATCTTGGTTTAGAGAAATGTACATGGACCTCTTTCTTTTCCATGGCTCAACTTCCCGAGAGCAACCAATTTCTCGTGAAACTTTACAACGGCAAGTACCAACAGAATGTGATTCTTCATAGATTGACATTTCTGATGTTGGTCATTCATAGACTACATCCAACTGTAGTATGATCAAAACTTAGAGCAATTCTCATTTTGAGTTTTTCACTAATAAATTATTACTATTTTAATGTATAATAAATTTATAATTAAATTTCAATTTTGTTTAGAGTAAATATTTTCCAGCTTAGTTATTCCATTTTCCACCAATAAAGTGAAAATATTTTTCAACTTTATTTACTCCAGAAAGTATAGTAAATGTAGAGTAATATTTTTAAGTGTTTCTTGTCAATTTATTTTTTTTGTAAATTTATTCAGTAAATGGTCAAAATCTATGTTGGTTCTGAACATTTGATTCGTTTACTTGCTTTCTGTTGTTCTTAGTTAAAAAAAATGGGCGTGTAGTACAAGTTGTACAACAGATCACTCTCACTCCTATCACATGCAGTGGCGGAGGTAATTTACTAGGGAGGGGGTCAATTGACCCACATGAAATTTTGAAAATACACTTAGTTTTACCATTTGTTTAATATTGACCCCAATCAAATACTTCTTCCGTTTCATTTTAATTGTCATTCTACGTTTTTGCATACAAATTAAGGAAGCATTTAATTTTACATATTTTCAAGAATAAAAAACAATTACCTATACACGTAACCACTTTTCAACCAATAGAAAAATAGAATATTATATAAAACTAATAAATTTTATCTCGAAACTCTAAAACGACACTTATTTTGAAACGAATTTTTTCCTCCAGAATGACAATTAAATTGAAACGGAGGGAATAATATTTTTGACCCTCATCACATTTTAATTCAACAAGTCCATTAATATTTATGCAGGTTTTTATAAAAAAAAACTATATTGACCCCTATGACTAATCATCCTGTCTCCACCACTGATCACATGTTTCTATTGCATTAAATAAGTAAAAAATGTAGTAAGCATATAATGTACTCAGATTACAACCAAGCCATACTTAAACATATACGAAGAACTAGAAGAAAACCTATCTTATTTATGTGATCATCATCACTTCGATGACGAACTTTTTGTAATGAAAAAAGCTTATAAAAGACCAAAAGAAACAAAATCTTCACTAAAACAAAATATATATTTTTCAACTTCAAGACAAAAAAGAAAACAAACAAAAAATTAGGTTCCTTATTCGTTAACGAAAATTCGATCATTATAGTATGTTACTCTTTTAACCAACTCAATGCCTTTGCTCGGTGTTTAAAAAAAAAAAACTGTACAGCTTTATATTGTGTGTTCATCACGTAGAAGAAGAGTTGCTGCTTTGTCCATCATCATCTGAGCTTGTATCTTCTTCTTGTCTTGCTTTATACCTATGAAGAACCGGTAACGAAGCTGTAGCTGATATTCTGAACGACCTAGCTGAAGCTGAACCCATTGTTGTCGACATTTCTTGCATCGTCTTCACTTCTTTACAAACGTTATCAAGAACTCCTAGAAAATCTCTCACGACCATAAAGATTCTTAAAGGATGTGCTTCCTCCTTTGCAGCGTCTCCATGGAAATACTCTGTTACTTCTTTAACCATTGACATAGCTTTTCTTTCTTCTCCTTTGATCTTTTGGATCTCTTCTTCTGCTTCTTTGAGAAACGTTTTCATCGAGACAAAGAACTTCCCTGATGTTGTTGTCTCTGTCTTGATAAAAGCTCTGATTTTATCAAGACCCGTTTCGAGCTTTGTCACGTAACCACTCAGTACATCAGAATCCATCCCTGCTGATTTTTTCACGTTTGCTAGGTTGTCTCTGCTGAGTCCAGCGACGACTTGTAATCCTTGCTTTCTGAAACCGTCTTCTTTGTTTCCATGGAGGGTGGTTTCGTCTATTGTTGTTGTGGTTACCTCGGATCTTGTGATCTCTTGGACGACAAAGTGAAGTAATGTGGTCTTACCATCAACTCCTTTTATGTCTACGAGTTTCAAAAGAGTATCGAGTTTGAAGGCTTTGGCATCTCCACGGTTAGTGCCAACGTTCATTCGGTTTCCTGTCTTTAGGACAGCCTCGAGGAGCCTAAGGAATAGCCTGCTTGCTTTTAGTTCTAAGCTTGCTTCCTACAAAAGCAACCAAGTAATTTAAAATTAATTAGGACAATTCATTTTGCGAGATTGAAAAACACATCAAGAGTGACTGACTAACCTCTAGTGTGTGGAAAGAGTTTCTTAGATAGTTGACTTCTGCATCAAAGTTGGCTCTATACAACATTGCTTCAACTCTTTTGAATGCAAAAGGAATATCGAGAATGGTTTTAAGGAATCTTTCAGCTGTTCCTAGTTTCGAGACATCACCAGAGTACTCTCGGAGTTTTATCTCTTCTTCCTTTGTTGGAGCCATCTTCACCAACGTCTCTAGAAGCTCTGCACCTAAGCTCTCGGGATTACCTGTTACCGTGTGCTACAAGTATAATTATATTGAAACTCATAGGGACATGCATCTTAGAACAATGCATAACGAAACCAAATTTATTTTGAGAATCCTAATGAATGTTAAATCTATAGTTCTATATATTAAAGCATGATACCTTCTTAATTATGTTAGAAGAATTATAAAGCAGAGAAAATAATTTCATATGTCATTGTTCTTTGCAATGATTATAGCTTGTGGCCCAAGTCTTTTTTAGTATTTACTTATCCTTTCACCATCAGTATCTCTTATGAACATCTCTTTTACTATTCCTACTACCAAGAAAAAATCTCCATTAAACCCATCAAGGCATCAATACTCAAGTACAGGAACAGAGAAAAACCTAAATGTAAATAGTTATAACCAATCAAGGCAAATGATCCAACATAAACTCACCATCTAAAAGAGCTTCTGACACCTCCTCACGTGTTACATTGAGTGCTCTTAATAAAATAGCAATGTTCTGAGATTTCTTAGGATCAAGCACTCTGTTCTCATTCTCAGCTGGAGCCATCACTGACCTTCTCCTCACAGGTTCCTTTGGCGCTGAAATTGCTGAACTGAAACCAAACAAATGCTCCATCCGATCTTCGTTCACTCTGTTGAATACAACATATAGTTTATTAAAATCAAAAAAATCAAATGCATGTTTCACAACCGGGCAGGCTGCTCTGGGGCATGTTAAGTGAAACATTCGCCACAACCCCTCCTCCCATCCCCAAAATGTTAGCTCTCAAATTTTTTTTACATAGAAATAGCAACAGACTCCCAGAATCTCAGAGTCGGCCCTGATCATAACAATGCAAAAAACAGAGTTATACGTACTGGAATGAGCTTGATTTGAGCTGGTCCCAAACTGTGGCACGATCAGAGCTTGCACGTACTTTATCCCAGTGGAGTGGCTTTAACTTTGGCCTGCTTGGATCCATCTCTCCGTCTCCGCCTTCAACAGCTTTCTTGCTTGGCGTCTTGAACATTACTTTTCTTGAAATATCATATTGCTTTGTTACTTCTGGAACGCTGAGTTTTGGCGCTATCTGAGGAGGCGGGGGAGGAGGTGGTGGTGGAGGAAGAGACTTATCCTGCGTAATGGCCTGAAACGCCGCCCGATTCGGCGGAGGAGGAGGCTTCGAGAACTTAGGCTTGCTCTGTGAATAAGGAAGGTCATTTTCCGGCGGTTGTTTCTGACTTATCGACGGAATAATAACATGCTTCATCTCCGGCGACCTAGATCCTGCAAAGCCAAGCTTCGACCTCGGAGAAGTCCTCTTCGAGTAGCCGGAGCGAGGAAACGCCGTGTAGTAGTAACCGTCATCGCTGCTGATCGTAGATCCGTGGGGCGTGTAGAAAGCAGTCTCTCTGCATTCGTCGTCGGAAGAAGAGGAGGAAGAGGGAGGTGGAGGTTGTTGCGGCGGTTTAGATAACGGAGGAAGCGGTTGAAGCTCGGGACTGGGACGGTAACGATCAGATCTCTTAACCGAATTTAATTTCCGGTACGGAGACGTATCATTATTATTATTATTATTAACCGGTCCGTTATTATTAATAGAGTCCCTAACCGGTTCACCAACGGTTCCCATGTAGAGAAACGTAGACGAGGTCGTTGGTGGTGGTCGCGGATCTTCGTGGAATATTCGAGAACCGCCACCGTTAACGAGTTTTTGAGTATCGCTTGAGTGTTTTACTTTGTGGCGGTACAAGAAGAACGCTAGAGCTGAGAGCATGCCTAGCGTGACGATTCCAACTGATATAACGATCGCGATTTTCGTCCCTGGTTTCGACCGTTGAGTAGTAGTGCTAGTAGTAGTAGCAGTTGGAATCGGTAATCCGCCATTGACGGAAGCAGGAGGAGGAGAAGGGAGATGATTCTCAGGGAAGAAAGGTTGATCGGGAGCGTCTGGAGGAGGAGGCGTGGAGTCGATATCTGGAGGAGAAGTCTCTGGGAAAAGTGGCTGGTGGAGAACTCTTCGATGAATCTCGTTCAACTTCACGCCGTTGGAGAATGATAGGAGGAGGAGGAGGAGGAAGAAGAAGAGTGTTGAGTGAGGAGCTCTGATCATGGTGACGTGTGATTAACTGTTTTTACGATTCTCACTCTCTTTCTAAGTTCATCTTCTTTCTTAGTAGAATCTTCAATGGAAAGACGAATAAGAAAATGGTTAATGGGGAAAAAAGAAAATTTTTAAAAAGTGATAAAGGGAAAGAGGAGAGTAGAGAGATCTGAGAATAAAGATGCTGACGTCAGCATTCCGGGATCGTTTAATCTTTAACCTCCTTTAATTCTCGTTAATTAAGTAATTTATAGTCTGCAAACGCATTATTTGTGCGCGAGAACCATATGTTAAAAAATAAATAATTATTCCTACTCAGTCTGAACTATTTGGAGGTAAAAGACATAAAAGGGAAGTACTGATATTTCACATCAAACGTCGGGGGATATTTGACGACTGCTACATTTTTATAATAAAAAAATTCAACGTTGTAATTAACTCAATATATAGATTGTCCTTCTCCTCCGAAATTTCGCATTCTGTTTCGTCGATACCAAGGCGGAGGAAAACGACACATACATACCACTCCATCATCGACTTTCACATTTTTTAAAAAAATTCCAGCTTCCCAAATTGATTTTATTCTTATAAGTATATAATTACAGTTCTAAACTAATAATAATATCTGGCTTGTTCTATTGCCGGAAAGCCAGATAGCCAATCTACTGTGGTCCAGCACACCACACCATAGATGAGAATATTGGCCAACATTTGCAATTTTTAAAAGACTTTAAAAGTTTTTTTTTTTGAACACTAACAAATATTCTTTTTACGAAACTGTAAAGCTGATGGTAAATGGTAAACTTCAACTTTATTCCAAACCCCAATAAGAAACACTGGATTATATGTTGCACTGTAAATCTAAACAAGATGGAATTTAAAATGCAGCTTCGAAAACCTAAACAACATGTGCTTTACTCTTGTCATAACAACGAATTTCACATGCAGATAGCTTTTTTACGTATAAATCAAGTTTATGGAGTCTATTTAAAAACTAAATAAATAGATAGATGTAAATAAAAATGAAGAAAGAAGACCAATACATATAATAATTTTGGAATAAAGTGAGCTCAACGTTACATTCACATTTTTTTATCTTTAACTTTTTGCTTTTATTCTTTTATACATGTGTAGACACGCTCTCTAGCGTTTTGCTTTCTCTCGTTTTATTTTAACAAGTAACTTTCTCATTATCTTTCATCTTTATACCTTTTTCAATTTTCATTTCTCATTTGCTGGGGATGCCCATTTCTTTTGCTCTCGTTTATAGATGGTGCCCTTAATAATTTATCTATTTTACTAACGAATAATGCATGAACGTTATACACGCAAGAGGTTCAGGCTAATTATCATCTAAAGAGTGATTAGTTTATAATGTATTTCAGTTATATTTTAAGCATACTTCTGAGTTTTGTCTCCATTGCGTGAGAATTGGCTTAAACATATATTCTGCCGACACTTAATGGTCAAGGTAAATCATAGCATTCGTCAACACTTTTGTACTCATTTCCCTATCATTATTGATAGAGTTTCATATTTATATTGAGACAAGAGTTAATCAAAAGAGTTTCATAATTTAAATTGATACCGAGACAAAACAGAGTTAATACTTCTCAGTCGAGTCTTTTTTTGTTTAATAGATTTCTTGATGTAGCTAAGAGAAATTAACGTTGGACAAAACTATTAGAAGCATGTAATTAATTAATGATACCGACAGATCCGAGAAGATCATGGTCGAATGGGTCAATGCTTGAATTTTAAACTATTTATTTATTTTTTCTTTAATAATCTGGTTGATTAAAATACTAATTATCGGTGGTAATCATGATAAAGCTAGTAGACAAATCCCTTCCTAGTGTTGTCATAATGATTGTGATGGGATTATGCAAAACGTTCAAAGCAATTTTAGAATCCCACACCACCACTTCACCCAATAAATCAGTCTAACCACAGCCTTTCAAGTAAAATAATTAAATTATCATCTCGAAGCAAAAACTTTGCTCTCTAATAGAAAAAAAAAGAAGATAACCTTTTGATAGAAGCGAAGAATCAATGGTCGAATTAGCCCAATGACTCGGGTTGTACTTAAGGACCTAAACAAAGCCCATTTGTGCCGTTCTACTGAAAGCTACGGCCTACAAGTTCATGGACATGTGGTTTTTGTTTTCCACGTCATCAAAGACCCACGATTATTATGCCTTTCGTGATGTTCCCTCTTCTATCTATGGGTTATTTACACTACCATTTATTTACGCAGCGCTCTGTTCTGTCCGCTTTGTTTATTCAACGTTCTGTTATGTTTTGTTGTGTAACGAACTTTATCACTTTTTTGTGTGTAGTGTCACAAAGTACGGTTTCTTAAAACAGAACAATTCAACGGGCATTATTGTTCATGTCAGTGTTGAATGCACAACTTTTATAGATAAAATTTCCTGAAAATATCAAAATATACAACAGAATACAGTATACAACCAAAGAACCACAGTCACTATTCAACATTGTTGCTTTTTCTTCTTCTTCTTTTTCCTTAAAAGTAAAATATGACCATATTTTGATTCTTCATCTGCACTCTTTTAAAACCCATCTTTTATAATAAACTTCTCATATGCAAACCCAACACACAAGTAAAGAAAAGAAACTGTGTCCAGAGCAAAAAAAAAGAAAGAAATGAGACATCTCCTTTACATTTGCTTCTTCATTCCCTTTCTCGGCTTTGCAGGTAGAAATCATCACAAACCAAACCTAAGTAATGTTTTTGTTTATTTTCAACTCATAGCTACAATCTTTATCTATGCAGGAGCTGGTCAAGAATCAACACCCATTGAAGCTCTGAATCTCCTTCAGCTTCTTCCACAAACTACTGATCTTGAGCTAGCTGTTTCAGTAAGAGACAACAAAACCATCACTGAGATTTCATCAAGCATCATAAAAGCCGAAACTTGGCTCAAAACCCATGTCCTATCTCGTTACCCTTCCACCAAAATCACCACCATTGTTATCTTTTCCCCTGACTCTTGCCAAACCACACAACACAAACCCATCTTTGATCTTGTCCTCTCATCTTTGAAAAACCTACACCATTCTCTCACAAGATGGGGTCTCGAGAAGAACATCAAAGTCTCCCTTGGCTTCTCTTACCAATGCTTAACCAACCTAGAAATATTCAAACCTAGTCTTGAATTTCTTAGATCCATAAACTCCACTTTCACCATAAACCCACCTCTAAACTTCCTTTATTCTCCTGATAACCATCTTGATATGCTTGAGAAGTTCGGATCCTTGAGGTTCAACAAGGTCAACTTCTTAAACCCTGAACCTGAAGAAGAAGCTATGATGAAGATGACAACAAGAAGAAGTCTCAGATCTTTAATCAATTTTACTAGAAAATTCACACTACACTTCCCAACATTACCCTCTCCCTCACCGGAAAACTCACCATTTCACTCCTCCATCGAATATCCATCTCCACAACCTTCGCCGGAGCAATCTCCGATCTCATCTCCGCCGGAGACTTCTCCGATCCCATCTCCGGCGGAGCAATATCCTCTTCAGACTCCAGGACTCTCTCTTCCACCGTGCATTCCCCCTCCTCCGACTTCTTCGCCGTCGTCACCGCCGGAGAGAAAGAAGGACGTGGAGGGGTTATGGTGCGTGGCGAAACCGAGCGTAGCGGCGGAGACGTTGCAGCAGTCATTGGACTTTGCGTGCGGACAAGGAGGAGCAAACTGCGACGAGATTAAGCCTCATGGGATATGTTTTTATCCGGACACGACCGTGGCTCATGCGTCTTATGCTTTCAACAGTTATTGGCAAAAGACTAAACGTAACGGAGGGAGTTGCTCTTTTGGTGGCACTGCCATGCTTATTACTACTGATCCAAGTAAGTGTGAAAAAAATATCAAATTTTGCAATTATATTTTATTAAGCAGAGTTTATGAATTTGGATTTTTTTTTGTTTTTTTTCAGGTTATCAGCATTGCAGGTTTGCTCTTAGTTGAGATTTGTCGGAAGTGGAAGAGTAGTAATGATATCATGGAAACTGAGCTAGAAGAAGAAGGATTATATCAATAAGTGTTAGTGTTAGTTAAGAGTTAATTTCTCTTTAGTTTGTTAATTTGAAAATGGTGGTTTTCGTGGACTATTTTATCTATTTAAATAACTGTTACGTTTTTAAGTTCAAAATTATTCTCAGGCCACTTTTCATTGTTAATGGGCTTTGTTTTACGTAAGAGGAAAAATAATAAAAAAATATTATCAGAGCCAGGTTTCGATCCTGGGACCTGTGGGTTATGGGCCCACCACGCTTCCGCTGCGCCACTCTGATGCTGTTGTTTAATTGATAGTTATTATCTATATATTCAAAGATACTTCTACTCGGCCTTCTCTCATTGTTGATGGGCTTTGTTGTTTCATCGTATAGGTAAAGCATACAATCACTAACTGAATTCCACATTTGTAAGTGTTAAGTTTGCGAATATTCACAAAAACTGTTTCCATCTATGCTGCGTCCACAACAAATCGTTGAATAACTTTTTTCATATTCTTTAGATGAATGAAGGACAGCTTCTAGATTCGTTGAAGCGTTTTTGGCAGTTGAATTGACTAAGTGACAAAGCTCTAGTGAGCAACGATGACCATTTCATAATGAACAACTCGGAAGACTAATAAGACCCAGTACTCCATTTTCCTTTTATCCTCGTCAACGAAGCTCAATTGTTATTGAACACATTATTTAATTATATTTTCTGTCTAGGCAAATCATTGCATTGGGTTTAAGTTGGTGACTACTGACTAGTGGGCAAGTTTCACACACAGATAAAATAACTCAGTCTATGCACCTGTTGAGCATATCGACCGTGTTACTATCATTTCTACAAATAGAAAAATAAAAACTTGTAACTAAAGTTGTTGTTTTTTCCTTTTTTTCTAAATAAGCCAATGAAAATGTAGAATCAAGCAAACAGAGAAAGTGTATGAGACGGTGGTGCAACTAACTGTGGGCCTTAAATCTCTCGTACTGACTTTTAACTATCCACCGAAAAGTCTCACCATTCCTCTTACGCCACGCGGGCCGCCAGAAGAATCCAGCCTTGTTTTAACTAATGAGACTGTGCCAGATGAGCAACGGCCTAATGCCACCACATCTCACACAAACGAGTTAAAGGAGATTATACTCCAGAGTGGCAAAAGCTTCTTCTTTTTTCCAATTTAAAATTTTCAAAATACAACTCCGAAGATATGGCACTCCTTTTAAACAACATCGGTCTTCCTAATATATATTTTAATCATAGCTTTTACATTCTTAAATCGTCATTATTTTTTATATATTAAATAGTAAGTATAACGACCGGGAAAACGGGTGAGAATCAACTTGAAAGTTTGAAAAGTTCATAACCAATTGGTGAAACTACGTATGACACTATTAGTTTAGTACTCGGAAGTGTTGGAGAATAGTAAAATCTTGTACCATACATCAATACTATTATTTCTAAGATATTTGTTTCTCAACAATTTGGCCATTTCTAACTAAAAACAATACATTGACTTGGTAAAATAAGAATCCTATAATATTCCAAAATTAATGACAACATATTATACTAAAATAAAGGAATTTAATGGATTGAAGAAAGCAAGAGCAGCACCACTTGATCACTCATATCCCACGTTCCCACTTTCAATCCCAATTCTACAAGTTATATATATATATATATATATATATATATATATATATATATAAGTATAAATCAAACCAACTCCTAAAACACACACAAACATAAGACGTGCTCTCAATACATCACACACTTCACTCTTTCTCCTCTCTTAAGTATCTCATCAAGATCACATCTCAAAACTTTATATGGCTCTCGAGACTCTCAACTCTCCGACTTCAGCCACCGCCGCCTCCGCTCGGCCTCTTCTCCGGTACCGTGAAGAAATGGAGCCGGAGAATCTCGAGCAATGGGCTAAAAGAAAACGCACCAAACGTCAACGTTTTGATCAGAACCGTCACAATCAAGAAACGTCTCCTCCTTCAGAAGAAGAGTATCTCGCTCTTTGTCTCCTCATGCTCGCTCGTGGCTCCACCGTGAAATCTCCTCTTCCTCCGTCACCGTCCCAAGATCACCGTGGCTACAAGTGTACGGTCTGTGGAAAGTCGTTTTCCTCGTACCAAGCCTTAGGTGGACACAAGACGAGTCACCGTAAACCAGCGAGTAACGTTAACGTTAACAGCAGCCAAGAAGAGCCGTCTAATAACAGTAGATACGTTGTTATCAACGGTAACGGTGTTAGTCAAAGCGGGAAGATTCACACTTGCTCGATCTGTTTCAAGTCGTTTCCGTCTGGCCAAGCGTTGGGTGGACACAAACGGTGTCACTATGACGGTAACGGTAACGGTAACGGTAGTAGCAGCAGCAACAGCGTGGGAGTCATAGGTTCTAGTGACGTCAGCTATGTGGATGATGAAAGATCGTCAGAACAAAGCGCGATCGGTGACCACCGTGGTTTTGACTTGAATTTACCGGCTGATCAAGTTGTGATGTCTTAACGTTGACTAGGCTCGAGATAAAAGTCAACTTTCAAGCGAGAGGAAATGGTGAAGATTTTAACAGTCGTTTCTTCTTACCAGTTGCTTCAGCTTGACTGAGTCTGTAATGAAAGTGATTGGAGTGGACTTGGGGCAATTTTCAGTTTCATTATTATTATTATTTTTTTTTTAATTGAAATGTTTATTTGTTGTTGGACTTGTTTATAGATAGAGGAAACCATTGGGAATAATACAGAGATGGATGATTGGATCTTACACGTTATAATATTTTAGTGAATTTCTTTTTTATTTTATTTTTCGTAATTTGTACTTAATTTGCTTCCGCAAGCAAAGGAAAGCCACTTGAATTCTGTTACTCACAGCTCCTAGTGATCTGTTCCTTCACATTAACTAATCAATTAATAAGGCAATGAATACATTTTTTTTTTTTTTTTTTTTGGTGTAAATGTTAAATTTTATACCAATTTTAATTTTTGACAGAAGTTACAGAGATTACAAGTAGCAGATAAAGAAAATAAAACTACAACAACAATCAAATACAAACGGAAAACACAATTTCCTAAAGTTCAATAGAACACTAGATCCTGGAATACGAGCTACTAATAAGATTTCAAGGAGGTAACTTGATCCAGAGAAAATAACATTGCCGCATGGGGAAAAGACATGTGAAAAACAGGGATGGAACTCGGTAGAAATTGGCTTGCCCAAAGCTCCTCTCCAAAAGATTTGCCCACATCCCGCGCAGCTTTGCTAAATTTCCGATCTCAGGTGCATCATAAGAACTAATCACCACCGATGACTGAACTATTCTTCACCGATTACCAAACCTTTAATCCGAAAAGAAACCCACCGCGCCATCTGGTTTGGTCCTAAACAACTTTCAGAAATCACTCTTATTTGGAAAAAGAGTTTTCACACGATTGCCACACTGCTGAACCTGCACTAAGAAGAGAAGATCCCAAACTAGAACACACAAAGTCCCAAGACAAGCCAATGAAGAGCCTGCTGCAAAAACTTCGGTGGCTAAAGATCAACAATGCGTTGCCACAAAGGAGAATTCCTCGGATGACAAAGCCGAGAAACAACACCTTCACGCACCCCTGCAAATAAGAACTATCTGCTGGCCCAAACAGAATACAAGTCTCACCCAACTCATTGATAAAGGCTCACACCACCATAAACCAAAAATCAGAGATGAAACTTAACCAACATCTTAGACCTTAAACTAATGGTCGAACACCACACCAACTAGTGGTCAAGAAGAGGCTGAGAATCCACAGCAGCCTAAAGCGAGAAACATTCCTTAAACCAGAAGACGACAACTCCACCACCATGGGCAAGACAGCAACTCCAATGCCGCAGCTCAAAGAAACCACCACGGAACTTGAACTGGCACACGAAGCAACCACCACAGTAGCCGGAAACACAAAGAAAGCCAGGAATATTTACCTCTGAGAAGCCACACCACAACGGGCAAGACAGTTAAACCCAGTTTGAAAGCCACCCCACAACCGCTGTGACATTGACCATCTACTGACAAAACCACCGCTGCAGAAAGCCCCCAAGGCAAAGAGACCAGAGCAGACGACACACACCACTCCGGTGACCGGAGCCGCACACGCCGTCAGAAACCAACAACCTTCGCTGACCACAACCATCTCACTGTTACACCAGATCTGAAGCCAGAAAGCTCAGATCTAAACACCAAAGAAACAGATCTGGACTTCATCTTTCATCAAAACCAGAGCACCAAGTATATCGATGGGAGACATTCAAAAGTGAAGGCGAAGAAACACCGAGGAAGCAAAGGAAAAAATTTAGAGAGGGGGAGGAGAAGGCTTACGCAGCAGAGACGCCGGAAACCCCCTCCTCCGGCGAGAGTGAACAATGGGCGACCAAGAATAGAGAGCTTGAGGAGAGAGGAGAGAGATTTTTTTTATTACTTTGTTACAAACTAGTTTCTTGTTATAATATGATTTGTAGCGTTTCATAGATTTAACGAGTTGGAACAACTCACAATACACTCTTTACAGAAGCATGCAAGTGATTCTAGATCATACAAAATGTCCTTCGGTTAATATGACCACTTTATTTGAACCATTTCCTTTGACCATAAGATTAAAAGGTTTATATGTGAGGGAAAGAAATTGGGTTGAGGTCAACCTTTTTAACCCTCAACATAAGAATTACTCGAAAAAGTAAACATCTATCTCAAAGATTGATGCGTTGGTCTAAAATGACGGGCCCATTCACAACCATAAACAGAAATTCTTGTATCTTCGTTACCTATATTCCAGTCCATATCGTCACGAAATGAGAGTGATGAGTGTCGAATTGCATGGCCCGACTTAACAAGAATATAAAAACTGCAGCCCACTAAGCAATAGACCATATATAGCAAAGCAGCGTTATGGCAGGCTGTTTATAGAAGTTTCCAACGAAAATGACAACGGTTCATTGCATTAGTTTTATTGCAACAACTATTTTATTAGTATGTGAGAAAAAGAAAACGTTCAGTGCGTCACTCGTGACATCTTTGCATGCAGAGCCTAGCTCGCTTTAGTTGCGTGGAGAATGGCAATAGAAGAAGACTTCTATTACAAAATCAATATCTTTTAATTAAACAATGTTATAAGTAGGTCTCTGAAGCGAATTCGCTTCTTTCCTCCTAAGTAGTCTAAAGTTTTTGTTTTAATCCCTTAAGTTTAGTCCTTTTAAATCGTTCTTAGTAGATTAATTAACTATGTATCTCCCTTGTATTGCATTGCATGTGATCTTCTTTCACATATCATACAAAAATGTTTGTTATGATTGACCTTCCATAAAAAATAAGATTCCTAAAAAGCCTAAGCCATGGTTAGATGTTGCATTATTATTTCACCCATTCAGTAACCAAATATGAAAGCAATTATTGACGCCCTTTTGCAAATTTCATCTATTACTTACTTTCAGCTACCGTCGTCTACTATGATAAAGAATGATTAGTGGATTCTTAACCCGTTCGGAAAAGGACTCGTAAAATAATTTTTAAAAACGAACGGCGGAGAGAAGACATGGTGCCGCTCACACCCATCATCTTGGAATTTTGACTACCCTCTCTCAAAGAGTAACTTCATAGAACGTTACAAAAACACATACAGATTATTAAAATGTAATCTATTCTTTTTCTTTGGGGACAAAGAGCAGTAGTTAATTTTTCAAAAAACTATATAAAATATGGTGTAAGGTTAAGAATCTTCTACGGCGGCAAGCCTCACGCATATGGACGCTTGCCTTCCTAAGTTCCATGTCTCTTAGCTTTTAATTATCAAATATTTTTTTTTTAAAAAATCCCAACTTGAATTTTTAATATATAGTATTTATGTGTATATTAGTATATATATGGCCTTGTCTATCCTCAGAAACATTTAATCTCTATTTGTTTCTGTTCAAACATCACTTTCTTGCTCCCAAAGCAAATCTTCTTCTTCTTACTTTGAGATTCTCCAATACATCAGCAACAAACTGACAGACTCTGTCGGAAAGAGAACCAAAAAGCTTAAAAATCACAAAAACTCAGCAGAGAAAACTATTTAACTCTTGTCGGAAAATAAAGAAAATGAGTTGCAATGGTTGCCGTGTGCTCAGGAAAGGTTGCAGCGAGAATTGCATCCTCAGGCCATGTATTCAATGGATAGAAACCGCCGACGCTCAGGGACACGCCACCGTCTTCGTAGCTAAATTCTTCGGCCGCGCCGGTCTCTTGTCGTTTATCTCCGCCGTACCGGAATCTCAACGTCCCGGTAAATAACCTAACCAAAACTAGATCTCAACTGTTTTATTAAAATGTAATTTTCACTGGTTTTCTAATCTCTTGTTATTATTATTATTATTTCTTTTTTGAATGAATGTAAAATTTTATTCAAGCAAAATTGTATTACATCAAGTGCAACTGTTTATAAGTGCAAAAGTTTTATTATTATTATTTTTTTGCGCAGCTCTTTTTAAGTCTTTGTTGTATGAAGCTTGTGGAAGAACTGTGAATCCAGTCAACGGAGTGATCGGAATGTTGTGGACGGGGAAGTGGAATATCTGCCAAGCTGCGGTTGAGACGGTGCTTCGCGGCGGTTCTTTGAGACCTATACCTGAGCTTCTCGCTCACGGTGGTGGATTCGCAGGGTTTCCATCTGAGGAAGGGTCTGAGATCTGCACGGAAATGCTGAATCTTCAGCATAGTGATCGTAACATCTATCATCATTCTAGATTCTCAAGCTCAAGATCCAGATCCACGCTGGATTCTTCTGCTAAGAAGCGTAAGCGAGATGATTCTTCGGAGCTAGATCTTTCACTGAACCCTAATTTACTCAGTAAAACGATGCCTTCTTCCACACGGCAGCGGTCAGGAACACCGTCGATGAACTCTGAGGAGTCAGTGACGACCACTACCACGACGACGTCGTTTTGGGATCGGTACGGAAACGGAGGAGGAGACACGAGCAAGCTGCTTAACCTTTTTGTTTAAGGAAACTTTCTCTGATTCAGTTAGGGCTCGGACATGTAATTTTACACATTTTCTTCCCCTTTTTTTCGTGGATACAAAAATATTTGGACTAAAGTTAACTATGCGGTTTTGTTCTTTCGGTCTAGAGTTATTAATTAACCAGCTCTATTTTTTCACACTGCATGACACGATAAGAACATATTTAATCATTTGTTTGGAGTTGTTGTGTATAGAATAAACTCGAGCTAATTACTAGTTCACACCAATCGATTTATCATCTATTCTTCTTCCCCAAAATTCCTTTTCATTTTTAAACTAATAGTAATCATGATTCACCCGATATATATATATGCAGATTTCATGTTTACATTGTTTAGCATTGCCAAAAAATTAACATGTAGAATATTAATATATATTATATACTACATAGCAGGTAAAGCTTTGTAAAAAGATCTCAATCAGAATATTTACTAGAGGCTCCTAGCACATTAAATAAAGTAAATTTTTATAAAATAGATGTGCCGTACATATACTCATATATTCAAATAATAAAGATGGATATACAATATCTAAGCATGTGGTTGGACCAAATCGTTGGAAGGGAGTAGAGGAGGCACACATGGCTCAGAGCCCTTTGTTTTAGAGGCGGCTCTTGGACGATGCAAAGAGCCGGCCTCCAAATGTTATTCCACTCTCTATCTTCATATTATTATTCGGTTATAACTTTGTTAATGTTATCCCACAAAAAATTATGACAATCACTTTTTTTGTTATATTGAATTCATTCCTGTTTGGAATATATATATTTGTTTATAAAAATTTTATAGATTTGTTTTATAAAAAGTAAACTGATAAAATCATATCCTGACCTGGCCCAAGAAAATTCTTTGCCAACCATCCCAATGGCAATGGCAATCAAAAGGCAATGATGGTCTATGTCATCTTTAGTGGCTTTTTCTGACTACTGTGACTTTTAGTATAATTTTAATCAGTTTCTCCCAATCACGGCTGCTCGTTGCCTACACCATCCACAAGCTTTTTAAATGAACCAGAATTTAGAATTCAAAATCAAGATGGCAATAAAATAAGAGAAACTAATCGCATTTTAGCAAGCTCGACATTTGAAGGAATCGGTAGGCTTTGTATCATTGTATTATTTATTTCCTTTTGTTTTCAACTGTTATTAATACGATCGATACGAGATATTGTTGTCGTCAATAGACTATATCAATGTTGTTGTCACTTCCATGATCTCGGGATTTATTATCTCCACCGATATTGGGAAACGTCAAGGACGGCCCCATGTCAATCTGCTCCGCTCGTTCCATTCATATATCCAAAAATTATATAATATGATCAACGACTTGTCTCCTCAAGATACAAATTGGAGTCAAATCAATAATGTTAAGAAACGGATATAATGACTCGTGCTGGATGCAAAAAGCCGTAGTTGTAATTGGACATGGTAGGGCACATTATGTCTTTTTCCTTCACCTTACGCCTCCGAGCCCACTTGCTGACTTAAATTACATTTAGCTTTATCTGGTTCAATGTTATCATATCTACTTATCAGAATAAATAAGCGATCCATCGTCGTGGGAGGTCCAAGAGACATATGCCCCTTCAACAATTTTATTGGTCGTACCCTTAAAACTCTTTTCATCTCCTAATCCACGCACTTAGTATTGTCTACGTTATTACGTCATCCAATATAAATTCTTTTTATACAATGAGAAAATTAAATTAATATTTGATATACTCACTTGTTTATGGATTCTTTCCACACATGTCGGATCCTACTTACGTAATTAGTAGTATACGTTTTTTTTAAGGTTTATAATTTTATTGACTTCAGAGTATTGGTCCAAGTCCAAAGGAAGTGTAATAAGGATTGTAATGCAAGCAAAGGATAAAAGTCAAATCATTGGCGTTATTTCTTCTATTGTAAACAACAATGGTCAATGGAAGATGGTGAAAAAGTTGACCAATTGATTTGATGTTGGAGAAGTCAACCTTGTTACATCTGGATGTGTCTTAAATCTCTATGCACCAGTAAAAGTCCAGCATTCATTGGGCCGAACGTAGTCCGACCAAATGCGGATATCGTAGGCGCTATCAAAGTTGACATCTGGAGGGTGCGGGGGTCGCATACTCCCGCGATACGGTATGTCTTTTCGGTTTAGGAAAATTTACATTTTATAGATAAGTATGTATTTCTATAGGAAAAAAGAAATTGGGTTTTGATGCTACTATAAATATGGGTCTAAAGGATTGTAAAGTTATTGATTCACACAATAATATATAAATCCTAAAACGGGTATTTGCCTCAATCGTTTTGCTCTCTTTATTTTTCTCTTTGAATTTATTTGCGTTTGTTCACAACAAACCCAGGTACATAGGGCATGTTACTCCTCTGGTAAGCTTCCTGACTTGATTTCTTTAAAGAAGAAACTCAAGAGACATAGAGGAAGGACTAGAGGTTTTTGTTGGTTTTGCTAACTCCTTTGATTTATATGCTTAGGTTTTGATTTGTACGTAAAAGAACTTCAATAGAAGAAATAAGGTAATATTAGAGCCAAAAGAAATAAAGCATATAATAAATGTTAAATGTTTGTCAACAAAATTTAACAGAAAACAAAAAATTCCTAACTAGTATGAATCAAATGCTGAAAGAAAAACTCAAAAAAGGGAATTTCAAATTTTCTGTATTCCTTCTTGGCCTTGATTGATAGAGCAGATGATAAAGTAGTAGCAGTATGCTACAGAAACTGTATGTTTTCATGAATTTTTTTTAATAAAATGATTGGTAGAGCAGTAGCAGTATACAATTTTAAAGTTATCATAATAGTTAGTATAATAATATCTATTTTAAAAAATAATATTTATATATTTATAATATATATTAATAATATATTTGCTATTAAAAATAATGAATCTTATTCACTATATAAATTTATATTAGAATTTATAAGTGAAATATTATTATTTAAAAAATGTAAAATTTATTTAAAATATTAAATTATTTTTCATATAAACATATTTTAATATTATTAAATAAATAAATTATTTCTATTTAAAAATATATAAATTATTATTATTTATTCATTGGTAAAGAAGTAAATGATTCATATAAAAAATTATCATAGAAATTAGTATATGTTATATAATTTATTTATTAGTGTCTAAATAATATATTTATATCTATAATATAATAAAGATAATATGTTATGTTTGTTATTAAAAGTAATGAACGATATCTGTAATTATATAAATTATATTATATTTTAAATGTGAAGTATTATTCTTTTAAAATTTACAAATTTACAAATATTAAATTATAATTTTTATTCTTATTTTTTAAATTTAAAGTTATTTTTGATTATATTTTTTATATTATTAAATAAAAATAAATTAATTATAATAATTATTTTTTAACTTTACATATTCTATCTGCAAATGCTCTCCTAAAAACTTTAGGTGAGAGTATTGGACAAAGAGCATTTGAAGATCATTAGCATTTGGTAAATGTTTCTTTAAATGCTCTCTTAGCAAATATTGATTGGATAATAGAGAGCATGATGCTTATGCTAATGCTCTATCAATCAAGCTTTTAGTTAAACGCTCCACAGTCACCGACGGATGTTACCGTTGTGTCCAGTTTAAGGGCCAACACGGCCAAGCTTGGCCATAGCTTTAACAAAGGCAGCGTTGAAAGCAGCTGAGTTCTTGGCCCAAGAGTCAACGGTGCTTATGCTAATGCTCTACCAATCAAACCTTTAGTTAAACGCTCCACAGTCACGACAGATGTTAGCGTTGTGTCCAGTTTTAAGGCCAACACGGCCAAGCTTGGTCATAGCTTTAACAAAGGAGGCGTTGAAAGCAGCTGAGTTCTTGGCCCAAGAGTCAACGGTGGACTTAGAGCGACGATCGGTGTAGAGAACTTGATCGGAAGTGAAGAGTCCTTTGCCTTGCTGCAGATTCTTGAAGTAAGTTTGTAGGTGGTAGCATAGAAACCAATCATATCCTAAAAATGAAGAAATGGTTTATAACAAAGTGTGATATGGACAATATGTAATATTAATTTTTCTTTTTTGATATTTTTTAAAAAATATGACAATAACTCATATACTATCATTAAAATAAACATATTAAATAATATAGTAATAAAATATATAATATTTTATAAATTTTGAAATATTATTTAAGTCTATTGTTATAATCATACAATTTTTTTATTAGTAGACAAGATTTTCAAATTTTATAGAATTTCTTTTAAAATATAATTTTTAATCGTAATACCTTTTTTCTTTTTGATATCTAATTTTTTTTTAGAATTATTTTTATTTTTTGATAATTATACAATTTTATATTATTTTATTAAAATAATTATACAAGTTAATTTGATATATCTTAACTAAAAGAAATAAATGAGATTATAATTGTAAATATATACATATCTATTCTTAAATCTAATATAAAACAAATCAAAATCTTTAATATATTTGTTCTATCTTTATTATATGTTTGACTACATCTAAATTTATATTAAAATATTAACAAACTAATAAAATAAAATATTAAAAAAACTATTTTTTAAAAAATAATTAAATTTTAAAAATTTACTGTTGCATAAAGTGTAGAAAAGCACCTTGTAAAGTGTTAATTGTAATGGTAAATGTGTAAATAATCCATCTGATAAAGCCCTTATGAGACCTTTATCTACACCTAAAAACATATATTTGTTCATTTTGCTAATAAGAATTTGAAGTGGCCCAACTAGCAAATTAAAAACCTAAAATTGTCCATTTGACAATTATGTCTTGTAGTATTTGGCATAGATTTATGGAATATCGTAGTCAATGAAAACTAATCCACGTCAGATTTAGAGTACTAGATAATAATATGCGCCTTGCACGGAATGAGATTATTACTTTTGTTATTTTAAGATAAAAATGATATTATGTCAATTTAGCATAGATATTGGTTCAATTTTACGTTGTTTTTTAATGTCCTAAAATATAACTATTATTCTAAATCTATATTTATTTTGTTTTTTTTTGGTTTAAATGTTTGATGTTTTTGAATTTTTCGATAAAACCCAAAACTATTGTTATTTGTTTGGTTGCGATTTATATAAATTTTAAACGTTTTTGATGTCGAACTAATAGTTTCCTATTATAATTTCTAAAAGACATGTAAAATCAAATAAAATCTAAATAATATTTGAGAAAAATAAATAAAATTATTAACACAAAACATTTCACTACAATTTGAGCGATAGTGAAAGAAAACATTAAAAAAAAAAATCAACTTCAATAAGATTTAAAATTCTCACTTGTGGTGAATATTTAGTTATATATTCGCTCATGTCAATGTGTACATTATGTATATGTAAAAGTATATAAATGTGATGATAAATATATGAATATACCGATAATTAAGATTTAAAACATTTTTATTCAAAATAACACATGATAATAAATTCTTAAATAAAATTAAGTAAAAAGAAAACAAACCTAGAAATTAATTACAATTTTACTGTAAACAATAAAAATAATATATATTACAAAGTGACTTCTTCACTTGGTTCCTTAATTCTGTTGTTAATCGATTTTATGATTTTTATTTCTTTTTAAAGCTTTTATGATTTCTTATTTATTTCACCTCAATTTCTTTAATTCATAATCAGTCACTTTATTTGTTGTTATTATGTACCAAAGCCTCAACCATGACCAATTTTGGCAAGGTACAAAACTTTCAGTTTCTACAAACATTTTAATCGCAACATTTTAGTTGATCGGATCTTAATGATTTTGTAAGTTTTTTACAATAAAAATATTATTCATTAGCTTCACGTAGAAAATTTTAATTTATTAATATAAAGGCTAAAAATGTAGGAAAAATAAATAAATTAAAATAGTGTATAAATACATTAAATAATAAATTTAAAAAATTAGTGTGTGAACGCATTAATTGCCAAATGATTGTGAAGTCGACACGGGTCAGTTACAGTGTGAACGCATTTATTACAATGCTTATCTTTTAATATATAAGGGATCTCTAAAATTGGAAAAAAAAATATTATGAAATGTGTGAGTGAATTAATGGAAACTAATCCAAATCAGATTTTGTTTTTGTTTTTCTTCTTATTATTACTAGTTGCATACTCTCCGCGCAAACGCGGAGCCGGGATCACTATGTTTGCGTGTATTTTTTCCGATTGTTGATTTAGTGGATTCTTTTAATGACATCAAATAATAATGAAATGGAAAGAATGTACTAAGAGTGTAAAGTGAAAATCGTGTATATCTAATGTGTTAAATGTTGTTTATATGCGAAGTAAGGTTTATAGGAATAGTTAGGCTATAATATATTTTTAGTGTATAAAAGTAGGTGTCTATTTTTTTTTTGTTTTTTTTTTTGCTGTAAATAGTTTTTATATCTATTGTCAAAACTTGATATAATTCCATAGTTATAGTATTTATATTTGTATTAAATGATTTATCAATTTGAAAATAACCTTAATTAAGTTAATATTCGTTGTTTAAGTTTCATTAGATAGGTTTTTATATATGTTTTTTTGTAAGTTTGGGTTTTGTTCATAAATGATGTTGCATTTTTATCTATGGAGTCATCGACTGTTGGAATCCATTCGCCGAAGTCTGAAGTCGGTGGTGAGGAATGTTTTCAATGAAATTATAGTAGTTATTAAAATGTAAGAGAAATTACATATTCATTTAATAAATAACGAAAATACTTAAATTTTGTTGTTTATTTCATTTTATTTCACATACAAATTTTTTGAAAATATATTAGGAATGTGTTAAATGTTATTTTTATGCAAAGTAAGGTTTATATGAATAGTTAGGCTATAATATAGTTTTTATTGTGTAAAAGTAGGTGTTTTTTTTCCTGTAAATAGTTTTTATATCGCAGGTCAAAACGTGATATAATTCTATATTTATAGAATTTATATTTGTATTAAACGATTTATCAATTTGAAAATAACCTTAATTAAGTTAGTATTCGTTGTATAAGTTTCATTAGATAGATTTTTTATATATGGTTTTTTGTAAGTTTGAATTTTGTTCATAAATGATGTGGCATTTTTATCTACGGCGTCATCGACTGTGGGAATCCATTCGCCGGATTCTGGAATCGATGGTGAGGAATGTTTTCAATGAAATATAGTAGTTATTAAAATGTAAGAGAAATTACATATTCATTTAATAAGTAACGAAAATAATCAATTTTTGTTGTTTTTTTATTTTATCTCACATACAATTTTTTTGAAAATATATATTAGGAAATATGTACAGTGATTAACTTTTTGAGCTCTTAATCTATATTATCCAAGCCTCATTAAGCCATCTACGCAGGCAGCCGCGTGGGATTCACTTTTTTTTTGTTTTTTTGATCTGTTCATTTTTGGATTTATTTTTTATTATTTTACATACAAATTTTTTGAAAATATATATTTGGAAATATGTGCAATGATTTAACTTTTTGAGCTCTTAATCTATATTATTCAAGCCTCATTAAGCCATCTACGCAGGTAGCCGCGTGTGATTCACTTTTTTGTTTTGTTTTTTGGTCTGTTTGTTTTTAGATTTATTTTTTATTATTTTTGGATTGAGCTATATTATAATAGAATAATTTTAAGACTCTTTACGCCATCCGCGTAGGCAACCGTGTGAGACATGTTTTTTTTTTTTTATTGTTTGTTTTTGGATTCATTTTTAACTATTTTTGGGTTTGAACTTGTTGAACTTTAGGGTTTATCCAACTATTTTGATCTTTAAAACAATAAGCCCAAAAAAACATAAAACCTTATAAACGAAAAGCCTATATGATAATGATCCAAATAAAAAAATAAAAAATACATGATAGCTACGTGGTTTGAACCCGCATTCTTGCATACTTAATTAGACATGTTATACCACTTGACTAGAGTGTATTTCATTGTTTGTGATCATCTTACCAAGACTATGGACTTTTAAAAAATACCTATGGAATCCATAAAACTGCTGATGTGGCACGTTGTGAAGTCTAGAAAATCTATATTATAAAACTGGTGATGTGGCGCGCTGTGAAGTCTAGAAAATCTATATTATTAAACTGTTGATGTGGCGCGCTGTGGAGTATAGAAAATCTATATTATAAAACTGCTGATGTGTCGCGCCGTGGAGTCTAGAAAATCTGTTATTATAATATAGATTATGATTGAGATAAAATCTGACTGAGTTTTGCTTTAGAAATCTATAAAAAGATTCATAAGAACATACATAAAAGCAGAAGTGATATATCAACAATACAGTGAAAATGAATTGCAAGATTGGACTCATGAGGTTCATTATAATTTCTTCGATGATCATGCTACTTTTCACAGTCCCAGGTTATATTCGTTATGAGATGCAGCCCATCACAGCTATTTTGGCGATGTCTTTGGTTTATATATCAGTATGTATTCTCTTTAATTGTTTTTGTTTTGGGTGAAATGTAGGGAAGGTTGAAGGGGTTGATGAGGACAACTGTGTTGGACCGTGTTCATTGATTAACTGTCAGACCGAGTGTTACAGGTCGGGATATAAAATTGGCAGATGTCTAACCAAAGGTTCTCCTCCGAGTCGTGAATGTTGTTGTAGCTTTAAAATATAACATATCTAAAGTGTACTAATGAAAATCATTAATAACAATTAATAAATATCAATCAGCATGTGCATGTGGGTTCTTGACAATTTTGATCACCGATAGGTAAATATGTGATATTAAGATAAAATTAGATTTTTATCTAAGCTTTCAAAAGCGTGGATACCATATCGTTTAATTCCAAGTATCCGATCCGGATCCTCGAGTTGAGTTTGGATCGGGTCTTGTCGGGTCTAGAATTTTCGTGTTCTAGAAATTTGGACCCATATAGGTACCTATAATATTTCAGGTCGGTTTCGGATGGAGTCTTGTCGGGTCCGTTGGTTCGGGTATATTGTCTGATCGATTCGGGTATTTAAGATCCGAAAGACTCAAACTGGATCCAAAAACCCAAAAATATCCAAAAATCGAAGAACCAAAAATATATCTGAACGTTTATCCAAAATCAGCCGCAAAAATTCAAAAAATATCTGAAATTTTATCTCAATACCCGTATTATATTATTTTAAGAAATCTAAAATTTTACCTAAAACCTTAATATTATAGTGGAAAATCCAAATCTGAAACTTAAAAAAATATACCCAATCACCTAAATCTACCTAATATATACAATAATTTGTGAGTATTTTAGATACCCGATCAAGTTTCGAGTAGGACCCGGACTCGAACTGAGACCTGCAGGTTCAAACAAAAAATACCTAACAGATACATATGTATTTCTTTCCTACTAGCATGTTCTTTTTAGTAAATTACGCATGTATTTTTCCTCATATATATTTTTTATAAAATAATACTTTTTCTATATGACTGCTGGATGCAACATGTAGTTATGTAATCTCTACTCTTTAGAAAAAAATGGACTACTCATAAATCGAAACTCTAGATGCATCTATGCATAAAAAAGTACCATATTTTGAAATCAGTTGGTTGACTCATACATAATGATCGAGTTTTCTGATAAGTGTTATATACTGAAATTTAAGCTCTGTCATGTTGACTAAAACATACCTAATGGTTATATACATTAATATTAATGTATATTAAAATTATTTTCATGGTATATGAACATCGTTTCTAATATTTTAATGAGTAATTTAATAAAAATTCATGTTCAATCTAATTAAGTGGTCTAACCGCTACAAAATCTGTAATTTCTTGAGAAATGGAGACAAATAAGGTCTCAGACCACTTTAATTTTCATTACATGTCATTGCATGATGAAACATCATGCATTAAGAAAAAATACCATTTATTCTAATTTATTTTAAAATATGTGGGTTAACCCCTACGTAAACACCGAGTTTCCGATAAATGTTATATATAAGTCTCTTTTGTTTTGTTTAAAAATACCTAACCAAATTCAAAATTTATACTAATGCAATAGACATATGTTTATGGTACATGGGAATCAGTTTTAATTTTCAACCGAGGAATTTAATAAATCTCCATATACCAACAAAAACAATGAACTAAACCCTATATAATCTCTATTTTGGAGAACAATTTGGACAACTAAGGTATCAAACCTATTTAATATTCATATTATATCAGTGTTTTATGGAGCTGTGCCTAAATACAAAAATGCCAAATTTTCTAATTTATTTTAAATCTGTGGGTTAACCACTACGAAAAATGGTGTTTTTCCGATAAATGATATTTGTACTTAAATTTAGCCTCTTTAATTTGTATTGTTTAAATATTTAACCACATAAATATTTATACTAATTTATTCTAAGATTTGTTTATGGTACAACAGACATCAATAATAATTTTTCAATGAGTAATTTAATAGGACTTCATATACCACGTAAATCAAATAACTAAATCCTATGAAATCTCTATGTTTTATAGAAATTGAGTCAACAAAGGTGTCAAAATTATTTGATATTCATCCTATATTTGTGCTGGAAGCATCTATGCATCAAAATAAAAGTACTATATTTTCTAATTTATTTTGAAATCTGTCGGTTAACACCTACAAAAAAATCGTTTTTCGATAAAAGCTATATACTGAAGTTTAAACTCTTTCTTGTTGATTAAAAAATATGTAATCACATTATAAATTTATATTAATGTATGCTAAACTTATTTTAGTGTACACGGGAAACGTTTCTATATTTTAATGAGTAATGTAATAAAACTTCATATTCGACCTAATTCAATGGACTATTTTCTGGTGAAACGAGAACACATAAGGTCTCAATCCTCTTTATTCTACAAACTATGCCAGTGCATGCTGCAACAATTCATTAAAATAAAAATAATAGATATTCTAATTTATCTTTAAATATGTGGGTTAACCCATACAAAAAGATTGAGTTTTCCGATAAATGTTATATATAGGTCTCCTTAGTTTTGTTTAAAAATACCTAACCACATTCATAATTCGTATTAATGCACTAAACTTATGTTCATGGTACATGGACATCAGTTTTAATTTTCAACCGAGGAATTTAATAAAACTCCATATACCCGCAAAATCAATGAACTAAACCCAAGAAAAAATTATATTTTCTAGAACAATTTAGACAACTGAGGTATTAAAACTCTTTGATATTCATATTATATCCGTGTTGGAGGCAGCTATGCATAAATACCAAAATTCCAAAATATTGAGTTTTACCGATAAATGCTATGTGTGCTTAAGTTTCACCTCTTTAGTGTTGTTTAAAATATCTAACCACATTAAAAATTTATACTAATGTATCCTAACTTTCTTTTCATGTTATATGGGCATCAATTATATTTTTCTAACTTGTAATTTAATAAAACTTCATATACCACGTAAAGCAAAGAACTAAACCTTATGAAATCTCTATGTTTTAGAGAAATTGAGACAATAAAAGTGTCAAAAATCATTGATCTTCATCCTATATTTGTGGTGGATGCATCTATGCATTAAAAAAAGTACCATATTTTCTAATTTATCTTGAAATATGTAGTTTAAACCCTACAAAATATCAAATTTTCGATAAATGCTATATACTGAAGTTTAAGCTCTTTCTTGTTGATTATTAAAATACCTAATCACATTATACATTTATATTAATGTATATTAAACTTATTTTTGTCGTATATGGGCAAAAGTTTCTAATATTTTAATGAGTAATTTAATAAAACTTCATATTCCACCTAATTTCAACTGACTAACCCATATAAAATATGAAAATTCTTGAGAAATAGGAGAAATAAGGTCCTAACACTAAAGATTAACTTTATACAATATACTTTATAGAATATACTTAAATCCTAACACTAACGATTAACTTTATTAACGCTTTTTTAAATTAAAAAATCTATTTACTTTAGTCAACTTTTGTTTGATTGTGTTCTTATAAAAAATGATGATTTTTCAGATTTTTTTTCAGTTTTATATTATAATTAATTTACATAAAACATGATTTTTATTAAAAGAACTAAACTAAAGGAAGACAATTAAACCAAACTGAAACTGGTCCAAACCAAACTAATTGTAGTTTACTTCAGATGGAAAATTTCGAGAACCGTATTAACCAAACCAAAACATAATTGAAGTTTACATCCCTACTTTAAACAGTCATATGTAGTTACCTATACTTTAGACTATCATATATTGTACATCATCAATGCAATGCAATCATTATCTTATTTTATTTTCTTTTGTAAAACCCCAAAATCCATTTTCAGAAAAAAGTATCTTGTATATTTGTTCCATTGTATATTTGTTCAAATTGAGAATCTTTATAATTTGAAATTATTTTAAAAATTCATCTTAAGTTATTTTATAAACATGAAATACATAAATAATAAACTGCAACCTATAATTATTTTTATTATTGTACATGTCATTGTAAAAGCTCAAAAATCTTTTTTAAAAAAGTAAAAATCTCGTATATTGATTGTATTTGACTTAATTTTTTCTAAATTATATATATTTTTTAAAAAATATTGATGTTTTAAATTCTTAAAGTATTTTTAATCGGTAAATTAAATGCTCAAGTATTGCTTGCGCAGAATTATTCCTCAACTAATAGTTGATTGTGTGAAATTAGGAATAAAATTGTCAGCCGTTAAAAAGTTGACGAAACCGTTCTCTTTCCGTTAACTAGTTAACGGTTGACTATTTCGTTTCTAATTTTCCGCAGTCAACTATTAGTTGAGGAATAATTCTATGCTAGCAGTATTTGAATATTAAAACTACCGATTTCAAATATTTGGGGAATCAAATGTGCATTTTCCCATCTTCGAGTCTTTTTTTTAAAGCATCTTTAGAGTCTTCTTAGCCGCGATGATATAATAATATGAAATGGAAATTTAAAGGAACTTTTTTAGAAAATCAAAGCTAATAGGAGGGACAAGACATGACTGCAGGAGTCAGTGTCTCGTTTGCTTCGAGAACCTACGAAGAAAGGCATTCTTCCTCTTCTTCTCAATTCTCGATCGTTCATTCTATAAGGTTACAGTACATCTAATTAACTAATTTTGCTGAGTCCGATCCATTAAACAAGTAAACAATTGAATTTCAATATTTTGTAAACAACAAATTCCGAGGAAGGAGTGAGAGCACTCCACAAACGCGCGCGGGAGCTCAGACCCAAGGCTCCATGCCATTGCCCCTCTTCTCTCCCGCAACGCGTGCCTCTCTCTCTCTCTCCAACGTTTGTTTCTTTATTTTGGTTATAGGAATAAAATTAGTAGCTACATGTTTTATGTTATCATATATTACACATTATATATTGTCACATTCATAACATCAATAGTGGTGGCTTTTTGATATAAAAAACAGCAATAGTGGTTAGGTTGACAAAATATAATGAAAGAAAGGTTAGTGGCTAGAACTTTAATTTGTATTTTTAATAAAATATAATAACCTTTTTTTGCTAGCAAAATATAATAAATAACCTTGCACAAAACAAACGTCCATATCATCTTCACATAATCTGCTTATCTTATGTAACATTTAAATAGGGTTAGTGAGTTGTAAAATAAAATTAACTTTTAATATATAAGATAAAATTAACACAAAAGAACCAACTCGTAAGTCATGCCGATTAATTTAAATTTGACATAACATGCAAACTCAATAAGATAATCATTTTCCGTTTTAGAAAATAAAGTCGGTCCAGAAACATTTAATCAGATAACCTTTAAATAAAATAACACTATAAACAATTTGTGATCATTACTTATAGAAGAATTATTTGGTCACTTTAATGTGTGTTTCGTAGATACGTTGGAGATCAGATCATGTTGGGTCAGTTTTTAAGTCCTTTGAAGTTTGAACAGTTCGAAAGGACATCCTCAACAAAATCCAACGGCTAAGATCTCTCCTCCAAAACTTATCGGGCACACGACATGCCACCTATTCTCAGATTCTGATTCGCTCTTCCCCTAATTATTCCCTCAAAAAAGTCTGTTACCAAATTATTTTAGCATATCTACATTTTCTAATATTGATTAATAATCATGCTTCTTTGTACAATGCATAATTATAAATACATATTTAAACAACTGGGGTTGTTGCTTTGTTAGTCTGGGATGCATGTGATTCAAGCTCAGCACCATATAAGATGTTCCCCGTTATTTCTTAATAACCAGAATTATTATCGCGATCGAATCATTATTATTGTAAGGTTTAGTAGATATAAAGTCTCCAACAACCACTAAATCCACCATTTATATAATTCACACTAATTTGATAATGTACACAAACACACACATTTGCTAATATTTCACACACACAAAATTTTATTACGTATTCCAATACAGTTTCAGTATTCATGATAGATAATCAAGATGATTCTATAATATATAATTTAAGACCAAAATATAAAACATCATGAGTGATATATCTCAAGCCATTAATATTACTATTCTATGGCTTCGAATGGTAAAAGCAGATCAAGTGGTATAGATCAAGCGGTTCATGCAGATCAAGTAGGACAAATGCAGATAAAGCAGGACAAGTGCAGATCAAGCGGATCAAGCAGGAGAGATGCAGATCAAACAATTAATCATAAATTATGAATGACAAAATAAATTCAAAACTATAAATCATATATTAAAAGAATAAAATTATACCAAATATCAATATAAATATTTAAATGTTGTAGGATCAGCCTAAATGTTTATTGGATTTTTCATAAGATGCTTGTAGCGTTTTAGTTGATCAAAATTATTTTTGAAGAAAAAACATCTTAATATTTAATTCTTTGTTAATATTTATATATAAAAATGGAGATAAAACAGATTAAATAATTTATTATAAATTATAAATGACAAAATATGTTCACATTATATATCATATATTAATATAAGAAAAATTACATCAAATATCAAAACAAATATATTAGATGTTGTATGTTCAGCCGAAATGTCTGTAAAATTTTTATTAGATGCTTATACTTCTTCTATTTATTAATTATTTTAAAATATAAAATAATTATTTTTTTGCTGACACTTATGTAGAAAAATTTATATTTTTCGTGGAAAATATTGTGTTTTTTGACGATTATACATCATGCTTATAACTTTAAAATGACACAAATAATATTAATGTGAACTATATAGTTTGAGTTAATAATTGTACATTATTTATAAAATCAAATAAATATATTTTAAAGTTAAGTGTTTGTAATAAAACCTTTTATTAGTAAAAGGAAAAAAAAAAGGCAGATCAACACCACCAAATGTTAGCGGATGGGATCTGCATGCAGATCTCCTGCTTTTTCTACTAAAAGACAAAAAAATTGAACTGCATGCAGATTTCCTGCTTGAACTACTTTTACAAACAGAAAATGGTGAATGGTAAACATAAGGTAGGAGAACTACCTATTGCGGGAGAACTGCATAATCTGCCTTTGTCCTGCCCCTCCCATTCATGACCTTATACTAGATGGATGAATTTAATTATGTGGATATGTGATGGATCCGAATCGAATCTAGTATTGTCTCATCTGTCAAGCCTGTATCCATGTATTCGATTATGTAGACATTAGACATACATATATAGTTATATATTGTATTATATGGACTGTAAGTGAAGCTTTGCTGGAGCTGTCTAGGGAGGTGGCAAATGGCATTTTTCTTAGAGGAACCTTTCTTTAAAGGCTATTGGCCAAAGACTATGTTGTTTGTTCGGGCATGACTCATGATGAGTATGCAAAAATCACTTTAGTTTTTGTGACATGTGAGGAATAGATTAGTTAATGCTTTCAAGACAAATGATTACTTAAACCCTTATTTAAATAAATCATTAATTTCTTTCAGAATAATATATAACTACGAATAGTGTGACGCACCAATCCATATCTCTTCCCTAGCTCATGATCTGCTTGATCTCAAGCTCATTATTCTCTTCATAAACCAAAAGTCGCTTTTAATCCTCTTCATACTCAGTGACAAAAAGAAAAAAAAATCCTCTTCATACTATTCGCATATCATAAAACCGGCTTCTAAACCTAATTGTTTCAGGTCAGTTATGAAAATTCTCCTAATCATGTTTTCTTAATTTGATTTTATTTGTTTGCCACATCTTCACCAGCTTCTTGTATTTAGTTAATGAATTCGTTGATTATATTTTTCTGGTTTTCTAATGGAAACCCGTTTGCAATGCAGCAAAAACAACTAAGAGTTATAAATTATTAGGAGCGTTAAATGTGGCTTTCGGTTTTTAATTATCAGGTTTTTGGATGTTAGAATCAAAGTAAATCGTCTATACTATCACTGTACATGTTATATTTTTTAGGTTCTAAATTAAGAGCTAGGCCGTCATACGTTTTATTGGGTTCAAAATCATTAGATCAATTTCTACAACAAAATATCATTTTGTTCGAGCTCATTTCGCTTACGCCCACCAAACTTGACATCAATTCTTGCTGGAAAAAAGTCCATAAGAATGTAAACGAGTCTTTTGAATGAAAAGACAAGATTGACATGCGTGTAAAGGAAATAAAATGAACCACCAAAATGGTTTAGTAAGTACGATAAGTATATATAGATATATGAAGATATTTTTGTGCATGTGTGCTCAGATTTATCACATTAGTGGCTAAAAATTGCAGAATCTAAATCGAGTACTAGCAGACAAAACTCAACTTCTATTTTTTTTTCTGTCACAGGTTATTACAAACCGAAGTTCCAAATTCGCCAGATCAAATCTTTTTGAGATATTGCTGAAATAAAGTCTGGAACATGGAGAAGCTTCTTAATCCGTACGAAAAGCAGTACATGAAAATGGCTATGCTTAAACATGAAGAGACTTTCAAGCAACAGGTAAATTACTTGATTAATTAGTAGATTCTAAACTTTTCCATCCTACGTCATTTATTCACATATGAAAATGAATATTTGGTTTTTTATATGTACTTTCAGGTATATGAACTTCATAGGTTATATCAAGTTCAGAAGATTTTGATGAAGAGCATGCAGATCAACGAGAGGAATAATGTAAGTTCAGGACTAGTGACGTTCACCAAGAGAGGTGACCATGGTATTGACCAACCGGCGAATATTCCTGGCGGAGTAGAATCAGGTAGTAATAAAATAGAGATTATGGACGAGAGTGAAATCGAGTTAACGCTTGGACCGTCGTGTTACGGTGATTTGATGAGAATGAACAAGAAGAAAAAGAATAATTCTTTACCGGAGATGATGGAAGGAAATTTAAATTCCGGCCGCCGGAGTTTCTCCTTGTCTTCGACAGAGTCTAGCAATAATAACCACAACATTCTTGAAGAGCAAATGAGACAAGAGAGATTAATGAAACATCAGAAGCAGAAGCAGCCATGGCTTCAAACATTGACCTTGAATGTTATTTGATAATAACAAATAACATTCATATAACCTATATTCTGAAATATTCATTTCCTTTTCTCAGTCTAGTATTTTTCCTTTTTCTCAGGTAATGTTTTAATGCTAGCTTATGAGTAATTTTCTTCTTTTGTACTAGTTCTTTCTAGGTTTCTTGTAAATAAAACCGATAGGAAAGTTTTTTTTAACAAAGATAATTAAATAACTGAGTTCAACTTGTATAATTTGCATTGCCAGAATTTATCATATTCAGATTTATAAATATACCTACACAAGGTTAGATCCTTATATTCTATATTCACATAAAAAAAAGTAAAAATAAAAGAAATTCGATAATTGATATTAATCAATAGTAATAAATGAATGATAGAGGAGAAGTTAAAAAAAGGGACCAATGATGAAGTAGTTAAGGGACACGAACATGCACTATCTGCTGGCATGTTTCCTTCAGACTTCAAACATCACCTACTTCCCCTCATTTTAGTTCTGATTTTTATATTTTTTTCTGCTCTCCAAATTAAAGAGTAATTAAAAATCTAATAGTATTTACTAATTTCTGATACATGACTCCCACGATCTTGTATGAGATAGATCATTATCACCTTTAGAATTCCAAGTTCTCTGTATCTATGATCTACCTTCAGAAGATTATATATAAATATGACTTAAATAGTGTATTCGTAAAATTTGATGAACAAGATGAAAAAGTTTACATCAAAAAACAGTTACTAGCTTATGCAGGAATAAACACCATAAACACACACACACACACACAAAATGAACAAATATTTATGTAGAAAAGATCCTTTGAATACTTAGAAGTCCAAACAAAAATTAAACATATACGCATGTACTGTTTATACACTAAATGTTTATTTTTCAAGAAATAGAGTGTCTCCGGTCTTTAGGTGGTTTGGTTCTGCCTCTAGGTGGGATGCCAAAAGGGTTTAGCTTCCCAAGTTTTTTTGAAACAGAGTTTATGAATGACTTTCTTGGCAATGGAGGCTTATCCATTGAAGCAGTTGATCTTGGAGAACTTGGATTGCTGCTCATAGTTGTTGATGACTTCTTCTCATTATTATCTTTCTCATACTCTTTAAGCTTCATCTTCATTTTGAGAAGTTCCAGTTTCAAGTCCTGGTTCTCCCGTTTCACCTTGGAGAGTTCGTCGTTGTAGGAGCTGAGCTTAGGAGGTGGAAGCACAGTTGCTGCAGGTTGTGGTGGTGGTGGAGCTGGAGAATCTGAATCATTAGTGACTTCTCCTCGTAGACGTTGTTGCTCGTAGTAAAGGACTTGAACAATGGTTTGAACAGGAAGACGATCGTTCTGAGCTGCATGAGCGCATGCTTCACGTGATAGTTTCTGACAATCCATTAAGCTGCAGACTTTCTTCCTCTCTACGTCACTCATATTCGGATGCGCCTGAAAAACATACGGTTCATGCAATAAGCTTCATCAAGGTAGTGCAAATGAATTTATCACGAAAAATACACTTTATAAACCTTTTAGCAAAAAAATAAATAAATAATATATATATATATATACTTTATAAATATTAGTTTTTGTTTTCAAAATAATGCCATGTTAAATTTCTAATGTAATTTTCCATATGTGATCACTTATTTATTTTTTAAATAACCAATATTTTTTTTATAAATATTAGTATTATTTAATATATTAAATAGGGATATATTAGTATATTTTGCAATTTTTTAATCGGTTTGAAATATATCAAATCAAAACAACACTTTTTTGCAAAACTGTACCTTCAAGTAGATGTCGACGGCTCGATACATGCCATCTTCAGTGACTCTAGACTGTTCAGGAATAAGCTCAGCTAAACCTATGAACTTCTGCAAGCTCACATTCCTATCAGAAGCAATCTCAGCCAAATAAGTCTCCATCAATTTACCAACACGTTCCATGTCACCAGCAAGATCAGCGCCATTATTGCTTAACCGAACTCCTTCAACTTCAAACTCAAGATAGTTCATGAGAATGCGTTGAACAGTGTCAGTATCAAACAAGGAGTGTTCTCCAGTGAAGGAATAAGAAGGGATCAAGAGATCGTCAAGAACTGCTTGTGACAATTGTAACCCCATTCTCTTCTCTAAGTCAAGCCTACAAGCAACCGTTGTTTCTAGGTATATTGCTGCACGTAGAAGCATGGAGAGAAAACTAACTGACATTGCGTTTTTCTCTCGTGGAAGAAGGCTTACTATTGTTTCAAGAATCACTCTCTTCTCATGTTCTTGTTTTGGTTCAATCTTCTTGGTTCCTTTACCAAAAATCTCCTGCAAATAGCCAAAATTAAAATTTATTAATTCTGGAAATGTCTTAAATCTCTTTCTACTCGTAGTGAATACTTTTAAGAGAAAAGAAAAACGGATTTTAAATGTAATATAAATACGGATATAAAAATGGTAAATTCATTCATTCACATAATCAATATACAAACTCTAAACTGGTATTTGTCCCAATTCGTTTCGCTCTCTTAAATTTCTTTGTTTTTTTCATAGTTAATTCGCATTTGTTCACAACAAAACCTAACAACTTTGTTCTAAATTTAGGTTTCTTGTGTCTGAAGGAAACTCACCAGCCCTCGAAGAGATTTCTGAGCATAGAGCATAAGCACTGGACCAAGTCCATACTGCTTAAACCCTCTAGCCATCATTGCGATCAGAACACGTTGAAACGAATCAATCCTAAGAATGGTCAAGTCTTCAGCCCACCAATCAACCACAGGCTGCTTGCTCACAACCTCATTGTTACTGTTATTACTCGTAGGACTGCAAAACTGGCTCTCCTGACAAGTCATGTAAGCAATTGCATCGATGCAACGGCTCACAAGTTTCACTCTATCAGCAATGGGCAACAACTCCTCTGACTTGTGTAAGACAGTGATGGCACTTGACAAGCTCTTGAGAGCTACTTCATTCAAGTAAGCTTCGGATCTTGTAACGAGATTTTCTACAGAGTGTTCCTCTGTCATCTCTAGAAACTCTGATGCACAACGCAGCATGGCAATGTTCTCTGTGCTCATATCAAAGTTAATACCGTAGCAGAACTTAGTTGTTAGCTCGAATGCTTCAGAGCCTCCAGGGATATCTGGGATGCTGATAACAGTAGCATCTGAATCGTTGTTAGATTCAGACACAAGTTTCTTGATAAGCCCACATTTGGACAAGAGTGGGAACTGCCAGAGAGATTGATCATGATCATGTCACTGGCTTTGTATCATATAAGATTAATCAATAATAATAATAATAATAAAAAAGATTAATCAATGAATTTTAGGTCTAGAGTTTACCTTGTGCAGTGAAAAAGAAGCTTCTCCTACATGAACGGTGACATCGCTAGAGACTTCCTGAGAAGATATCCTGAAACAATGTAACAAATACTTTTACTTGGAAACTAGAAATAAAAAATGGATCCAGAAATAAAAGTAAAATAATCTTAGGGAAATTAGACACCATTCACTAGTTCTCTTCATGGCTGAGGATAAAATATCTTTCTTCTTTGCTGACATACTACGAACACTTAGCTCGCGGTTTCTTCTCACTCAAGAAATCAACCATGGAGCACTATTTCAAGTCCTTCTCATGAACAAGATTATGCCGTATAGAATAAGATCAGCCAAAAGAGTTTTTTTCTTTCTCTTTTCCTCTAGGAATTACAACCAAACAGAGAAGAGAGAAGAACCTAAACTCCCCAAACAAGGAAAACCACAAACTACCCTTACTCCAATAGCAAAGAAGAGGACAGAACAGGGGAAAGAAGGGCAGTTACGTAAATTTCATGGAGAGTACAAGATAAAGAAGCTGTGTAAGGACTATGTGAGTGTGTGTGGTAATGGTTTGGTTTGGAGATTTTAGAAGGGTCCATGTGGATCAGACACATCTTTTAGACAAAAACAAGTAATTCCAAAATGAAGTAGAAAAAAAAGAGTAATGATTCCTCTCCACATGTGTATATATCTCTAAACAAGTATAATATTAATGATTTTGCTATATTGGTTTATGGTAAGGAGAAGAGAGTGAAGGTACAAGCTGGAGAATATTGAATTTATGACAAAAATATGAATGATGGATCTCTTGGTCCCTACAAAGACTCTTTATCATCTTTAAATTTCTTCCTTTATTTTGATAATTGAAGTCACTAGTATATGCCTAAATATATTTGATTGAGACTCATCTCCATCTTGCAATTAATGCTGTCTTTCAATAATATAGAATTTTGAAATATTAACGATAATAGAAACAGAATATGCTACAATGAACCTTGACTTATTTACCTCTATAGTTAACCAATTCATCCACGTCAAAATCAATAGCTTTATGAAATTTATAGACTCCATCACTATACATTGATCTAATAATGATCTCTCACATATAGCATAATTCACCCATATCAGACAAATATAAAGGGCCTTAGAAGTCCATATAAGGCCCATTTAGTAAAACATGTTCGCGCAAAAAGGAAGAAGAAAAAAAGAAAAGGAAATCAGAATCTGCTGCGGGAGAGCGTATTGAAAAAGGTTTGATCTTGTTGTTATGTGCTCTCTCTCTCTCTCTATCTATCAGGGAGCAGGATGATTACGAGGTAGTGAGGAAGGTTGGGCGTGGAAAATACAGTGAAGTGTTCGAAGGATTTAACGTGAACACCAAGGACAAGTGTATTGTTAAGATCCTCAAACCTGTTAAGAAGAAGAGAGATTAAGATACTACAGAACTTGTGTGGTGGACCGAACATTGTGAAGCTGTATGATGTTGTTAGAGATGAGCATTCGAAAACTCCGAGCTTGATATTTGAGTATGTGACTTTAAAGTTCTGTATCCTACCTTGACTGATTACGACATTCGTTACTACATCTATGAGCTCTTGAAGGTAAAAACCATCTTCTAATCTTCCCTGTTGGTTTGTTTTAAAAATGTTAGACGTTTTATTCGATTGTATACTTGTTTTTGCAGGCATTAATTGGATTACTGTCATTCGCAAGGGATAATGCACAGAGATGTCAAGCCTCACAATGTTATGATTGATCATGAGCTGCGTAAGCTTCGGCTCATAGATTGGGGTCTTGCTGAGTTTTACCATCCTGGGAAAGAGTATAATGTCCGTGTTGCATCAAGGTATGGTTTTACTTTGTATCCTTTTTATTATTAAGCCAAGCTTCTCACTCTGAATGTGTATTAGATACTTTAAGGGACCTGAACTTCTTGTGGACTTGCAAGACTATGACTACTCGTTGGATATGTGGAGCCTTGGTTGTATGTTTGCTGGGATGGTGAGTGGTGGCTGCATTATGTTCTTTTTTCGTAAGGAACCTTTTTTCTACGGCCATGACAATCAAGATCAGCTGGTGAAAATCGCCAAGGTAAAGTTTGTAGAACTTAACTCAGTTATCAGATCTCATGTTTTCCATAGTCGTCATGAACATATCTCTCTCGACTTGTTATTTCTCCCAAGGTGCTTGGGACAGATGAATTGAATGCGTATCTAGATAAGTACCAGTTAGAACTTGAACCACAACTTGAAGCACTCGTTGGACGGTAATTTGAAACATTATTCTGTAGTGAGAGTTAAACCATATATAAGTTGTATGCTGAATCATTATGAGGTGCAATGGATACACAAACAACAGGCATAGCAGGAAGCCCTGGTCCAAATTCATCAAAATGTATTAAACATATAATGTTTCTTAACATTGTTATGAATGGATATTATATTGTTTACACTCTTGCTGCTTCATCTAACAAACAATATTCTTCTCCTAAGTAAATTTATTGTTTACACAAGTGGTTATGGGTAGCATATGGCTTATTTAGACAAATTAGTGAGCATTTTTAATAAAAAAAAAAAGCCAATAAAAATAAATAAGATAAAAGAGAGAGAGAGAGAGAGGGAGATACCCGCGAGAAGTGTGTGCAAGGGAGCATCTGTCACGTGGCGAGAGACAGACGACACAAGTCAGAAGGGACCAAAAGTTATAAGAAAGTGATTAGTTTTTATTGTGGCTATGCAGTGTTTGACGTGTTGTTTAAGGAGCTCCTGCTCCATTTAACCTATGAGGGATCATCTTCAATCAAACGCACGCTTCTCTCCACTCTCACACAAAAGTCATTCGAAAAATGCTCAGATTAAATGTTAATTACCCTTTGCTCCCAAAGATATCCTCCCATCGCGTTTGTAACAGAAGCAGTTACTATGATTCTTCGACGTCGATCGTTAAGTATGGGAATGATGGAACTAAGAAGAAGAAGCAGATGTTTCTAAGAGTTTCAGTGAAAGCAATGAAGGAAGAAGGTAACGGAAGTGGAAGCATGAGTTTCTCTGGACAAAGCTGGGATCCAAGCTCTGAGATACAAGTTCCTTCCGACCAAAGACCTGTAAGTTAATTTTACATAATTACAGATTTAAAATATAATTAATCTATATATATATAGGTGAATGAGTATTCGGCTTTGAAGGAAGGGACGTTGTATTCATGGGGAGAATTGTCTCCAACCCAATTCTTTCTTCGTCTGGGTGGTCTTTGGCTGGTCACTTTCACTGTTCTTGGTGTTCCCATCGCTGCTGCTAGCTTCAACCCTTCCAGAGTGAGTCAGCTTCTTCATCTATCAGAGTGTCTTTCTACAGAGATTTATATTATAACTTTTCCTTGCAGGAACCTTTGAGGTTTGTTATAGCTGCAGGGACTGGAACTTTATTCCTGGTTTCATTGATTGTCTTGAGAATTTACCTGGTATTTTATAATTAATTGACTTTCTTGCTTCTCCCTCCCTAGCTTAACAAAACTTTCCCATTGATTGTTATATATGTTATGTTCTTCTTGATTAGGGATGGAGCTATGTTGGAGATAGACTACTTTCTGCAGTTATTCCCTACGAAGAGAGCGGTTGGTATGATGGCCAAATGTGGGTTAAGCCACCTGAGGTTTGCATTTTCTAATGTCTCTTTCCTTTTCACTACAAGAAATTAACATTACTTGCTCCAAATGCAACTGTGACTTTTGGATCTTTGTTTTGTTTGATCTCAGGTATTGGCTCGGGACAGGTTGTTAGGTTCTTACAAGGTATAATACAAACCATGCATGTTTTGTGCTAAAAAAAAAAAAGTGATAACCAAGTTGTGAGTTTCAGGTGAAGCCAGTAATCAAGATGCTGAAGCAAACATTAATTGGAACAGGAGCCTTGCTGGTTTCAGCATTCGTGCTATTCGTTTTTGCTACACCCGTCGAGGATTTCTTTAAAACCACTCTAGGATCAATTCATAACCAACCACAAGTTTCCATCTCAAGAACCAACAACAACAAGTTCAATATGCGGTAATAAATGGGGGGGAGATCAATCAATTAATACAATAATACCAAACTCTTACCCTCTTTTCATTTTTATACAAAATTTGTAGAAAAGAACAATTGCTTCGGTTGCCCACAGATGTTGTCACAGATGATGACTTGGCAGCGGCCGCAGCTGAGGCTGCTGATGGAAGACCGGTCTATTGCAGAGACCGTTACTACCGTGCTCTGGCCGGTGGTCAGTACTGCAAATGGGAAGATCTTGTTAAATAGTACTACTTGTCAAGATAGAATACAACAATAACACACAATGCACTATGTGGTTTTTTTCAGTTTTGATTAAAATGGCTATTCATCACCAAATTACCAAGTTATCTTATCAAATGTGGGTTACGTGGGTCTGTAACTGGCCCAACTTAAGCAAGTAAGGCCATGATTAACCTCAAAACCCATAAGGGATGCTTAATTATTTTTTGTTCGATTTAAAAAAAAAACCAATTGCGGACTGCTACGTATCAATGGAATTCGCAAACATTACAAGCAACTGACCATAATCGCTGCTTATTTGGGCATCAGAAGCAGCTGCTTCTTTTTTTTTTTTGTAGGATCCAGAAACTAAGCATCTCTCTAAGCTCCCTAGTTAATCATGTCCTAAGAGCATATCTAACTCTACTCCATATTTTACTGCAAAAAGTAATGGAAAATGGAGTAGTGAACAAACAAAAAAATCATTACTATTTTATAAATTAGTCATTTTTTTGTTTGTTAATTACTCCATTTTTCATTTTATTTTGCAGTAAATTATGGAACGGGTTGGAAATACTCTAAAGTTTTTAAGTAACTGCCTATATTAACTAACTTTCACGGTCAGAAGGCAAAAAGCATGAGTTATATTGTTTACTTTCTGATAGAAGAAGAAAAATGTTCATGAGGTGAATTTGGTAGGCACACAGTTCAATTTAATCAAGTTCCAAAACAAGATAAAGCATGGTCCAATTACATAGTACCTTTTTTCCAAAATTTAATACTATATGAAATCAATCAGGGAAGTGGGCAAGAGTCACTACCTCATCGTGGCATTATAACTACTGAGAGTTGGATAAATTGAACCAGCCTGCCAGCTTCCGATGTTGCTATTTGCTTGTTTATAAAAATAAACTAATGTTAGTGAGAACGTTTGAAAATATATCACAGTCATAATGTTTATTTTTTCACAGTAATAATGTTAGCTCTGGTCTAATATAAAGAGACACGTTAGTTCATGTCGTACTATACAAACCAAAGTCTCTATTATTGCCATTCGCCACACATATTATTTGGATCTCTACCGTCAAAAGCATTGGTCAGTTGATGATGGCTTTGTCGAATGCCATTCAGATCTTGTATGAAAAGTAGCTCCTTATGTATGTACCTTCTTCAAACATAAATCATGAAGCCAATCTCCAAAAAAAAAACATAATTCATGGTTATGTACAGTGGCGGAGCCAAGAAAAATATGGATATGGATCATAATTTTTTTTTTTATAAAATACAAAAAGAATTTTTTTATATATATTTTATTGGATTAGTAATTTCTTACCTTTAATTTTCATATACTTTATTGGCTAGTAATTTTTTATATTATGCTATTGGACTAAATGAGTTGGATTAGATTGAGGATCAATAATAATAATGGACTAAGATCAATTTAAAATATTTGATAAAGTTTACACTATTTTCCCAAATTTCATATGGGTCATTTGATTACCATGCCAATGCCCTCCCTCCTCCACTGGTTATGTACCCCTTTTTTTCTGAAACAGGTTATGTACGTAATCAATATACCCAAAACAAAGCTGGTAAATAGCTACACCAAATGAAGCTAAGCCTTTTGTGGCATCCATGGACAGTTACATACGTTTTTTTTTGTTACTCTATAAGTAATTGCATGTAGGCCTAATTGCATAAAGACGGTTGGCTCTAAATAGTGTAGATGATGTTAAGAGTTTTTGAGGCTCCTAAGTCAAATGATAGTATAGTGGAAGTAAGTTGTCGAACCAGTTCTGAGGGATTTAAAAGCACCGAGAATGCAAGTACTAACTTAATCTAAGTGCAATCGAATGTTTGGTTGGTTTTGAAGTTAACTAAAACTAGAATGCAAATAACAAAAATGATACTTTTAAACTATTGGGANAGGAGGCTTTAAGACTACTCTAATATGCAAGGAACAAGAGAAATCTACACTTAAAACATCTTAGCTCTAACCTAATCACCCTAAATCACCCTAACCCATGAATCCAAGGGGTGATTACTCACTAATCTCCATGATTATCCTTAAACCCATGGTGGATTTCAGATTAATCATGTAGAGAAACAGATGGAATAATCAACAGGAGCACAAGAACATACAATGGAAATCAAAAGGATCAATTTCTCTCAAGAGTTTTTGTGTTCTTTCAATAATCAAAAGATCATCTGCCAAAAGGTGGCTACAAGGTGCTTAAACATTAGGTTTTCCAAGTGCAAAAAACGTGCACAACAATTGCAAAAAGGTCCTTAGAAAATCATAAAATCGTCACAAGAAATAGACGCGCAGCGGCCAGGCACACCCGCTCCTCTCTAGCCGCTGCGAGTTATTCGAGTGGAGCGGCTGCATGTACCCGCTCCGCCTACCCGCTCCAGAGGAAAACGCGCGGCCGGGCACACCCGCTGGGCTTTAGTCGCTGCCGAAGGGGACGTCACAGCGGCTTCCTAGGCCCGCTGCGGGAGGTCGCTCCAAAGAGAGACGCGCGGCTGGCAAGACCCGCTGCGATCTACCCGCTGCGTTGCATTGGGTCACAGCGACCAGGCAGGGCCGCTGTGACAGGTCGCTGTGGCTCTCTCCGGACTTAGGTCACTCCTTTTGTCTCCCTTGAGCCCCTGATGAATCCCAAATGCTTCCAAAAGCTCCATGTGATGCTCCAATACCTAAAAGGGACTCATGTATGCAAAATGCAACCTAAACATGGCTAAAACCTATTCTACATGATGAAAAGGAATGCAAATGAAGAGATAAAACAATGTAATAATGCAAGACATCA